TAAAAAAACATGCTGTTAAATCCTTATTTAAATTGGATTTATTATTCATTTTTTTCATAGGTAAAATACTTATTTATTATTTAAGTAAATATTTTACCAGAGGATTATTCATCCTATATGATGATCTCAGCATGAGCATCATTAACTGGTAACAGTTTTTGGGTGCATTCGTTAATAGCAGTCACTCTGCAATGGGAGTGCGCTACTGTTTTTAGGCATTTAGGAATGATGGTGAAAGAAAGATAACGGTGCCCACACTATCGATAGTATCGTGATGGAGGAATCTATAATTCTAAAATGAGCTTTTAGAGGCAAAAGAAGGGTTCCAATTGTAAAATATAACCATTAAATGGATTATTTGTTGAAAGAGCATTCAAAGTAGCCACGAAAACAATTAGAATGCTCGCGCAGAGTTACACGGAAGTATAAAAGAACGCACACTTTATTACATTTCATGTTGTACGAGGGTTTTACCCAATTCTCGAACATTGTTAGAGTGAATTCATGCTATAGAAGTGCCATGTTATACGGGGGTTACCTGTACTATTTATTGATTAATATAGAGGCTTAAATATATATACATATATAGAATAGTAGAATTCTATTCTATAAGTCAATTGGTCTATCTTAGTGAGTCCCTTACTTTGAGAGAAAGAGTTTACAAGTGATTGCAAGTTGTCAAATACCTGAAGTTGTAGCTCCTTGAGGTGATTCATACACTTGCAGGTGGACTTGTCCTGTAGGAGAATGGTATTGCCTCTTGGCAGGTAGGATGGTATGCGGTCATTGGCAGCAGTTGGCAGTGATGACTTGATAGGCGGCATATCCAAATCTGGAGTGAATACTCGATGATGACTGACTCTCAATGATGGACAAACTCCATTGTCATCATTGTTCATTTTTCTTTTATTTGGGAGTCCTCTCCTTTAATTTCAATGCCCTTTTTAGGTAATGTTGGTTGGTTAAACAATGTTTTGATGTTATTTTCCTGATACAGTCAAAAGTTACACATTCAGATGATGTGTCATCTCTGGAAAAGGAAGCTAGTTCATGGGGAATAGAATCACTTCCTGCATAGTTGAGAAAAAAAATTTTGTATACTGGAATATTTGAACTTATTTTCTTTTGTTTCTTTTGGGCATCATATGGGCATCATAAACATTAGGAAAAATGTTTTTTTAAATTATTGTTTGTGGATAGTGATGTTTTCAATGTTTTCAGTAATAATGAGCTGTTGAATTCTCAAAACTGTTTCTGTAAATAAACCCATATTTTAACTTTAATGATAGAATTTTACTTTAGAAATTTTTCTGATATTTGAATTTATAGATAGCAACTTATTTTAAAGTGATCTTTATAGATGGAAAGAATGGTAATTATAATTTTTTGCACTGAATGTATACAATAAGCCAAAACTTTCTGTTTTGCTTTTATATAGAGAGCAACAAATGAAGAGAAGAAAAATTCAAATGAAAGTTCAGCTGATAGTTTGGAATATGATATAATTACATTATTGGATGAAGCACTATTACCATCTCTGTCATTGTTAGAATGCAATTGCTGTATGGCCGAGGAATTGTGGAGTCTGCTAAAATTATTTCCATATCAATATAGGTAACAAATTAATTTTACATTTTTGCATGTTTTGAGGAATGTTTGTTTTTTTGTTAAAATCTACACAAAGAAACAAAAAACAATTTTTTTAAGATATTCATGCTTAGGTTTAAAATTTAATTTTTTGTAATAATGTATATTATCATCTATTCAATTAAAATTATACAATGATATTCTGTTAACTCAACATTATCGGAACTGACACAGTGCTACATTATTGAACATACTGTTTGGCATATTGATAATCTGGACAATGGAAGTTTATCTGGATATTTTATATTGTATGGTGGAAGTTTTTCCAGTGTTTTCTTGATCTCCTAGACACAATTTTACATATCGTCACATGTAAAACTGTACAAACACACCTTTTATAATTGTTTAACATGCAGTTTCAATTTTTCGAGGCTATTCCTACCCTTGGTTTGCTTGAAGTAAAAATACACTGTTTTTACTTTGTGCTTTTTACTCTTTTATTGTGTATAAATACAGATATACAATAATTATCAAAGCATATGAACAGTACAGTAGCTGTTTCTGTGATGATTATTGATTTCAAGTGTGTTAAACATTCCCGCTTCTTATATTAATAAACTGTATTATTTGTGTCGAAAGTTGAACACTGTTCAACTCACTTTTACACTGGTTTTACAACCTGCTCAGGCATAAAATATCATGATCACGTGATTAAAAGCTTTTACATTGAGGGGGTTTTATGCTCATTTTTACGCTAATGGCATCTCGGCCTTACTTTCTCTCTTGAGAATATTATCAAAAAATGTCAACAAAATTAAAAAAAACAGTAAGTTAAAGTTATTTGTTTTTGTTAATATAATTAAAAGTATATAAATATGTTTAAATTTAATGAAGTTTATTTGAATATGCTTTTATTAATGCTAAAAAATTTATTCATGATTTTTTCATTTAGATTTTGCCTGTATAGTCAATGGAAAAATGAAACCTACCTGAGCCAGCCATTATTAATTCGTGCAAAAGCAGATAATTTAAAGAAAATAAAATACATCATGAAGTAAGTGATTTAAAAAAATAAAATTTAGGAAACTATTTTTAGAATTATATAGAAATTCTATATGTTTAATTTTTCAACTTAGAAAATTTATTAAAAAAATTCTCAAAAGAGACAATACATAAAATGTGTCCACAAACTTTGTCCCTTTCACGCACATCAGGAATTAACAGTCTATTGGGCAGAGTTGACTTATCTTTAGAGGCTACTCGTCTACATCAATACATAAAATGTTAAAATCTTTCCTCTGGCAATGGCACAATCAATTAAAAAATACATTTGATAAATACAATTTTTTCAAATATATGTATTGTCTGTTTTGAGAATTTTTAAAATAAATTTTCTAAATTTAAACTTACATATCCTGGCATTTTTTAATCAAATTTTTACTTTTTGTTTTCAGACGATTGAGTAAGGAAAATGTGAAACCATCTGGACGTCAAATTGGCAAGTTAAGTCATAGTTGCCCAGGATTTCTCTTTGATTATGTAAAATATGTTTTAATTAATATTTAAAATAAATTTGTTATGAAATTTATAATTAATATATATTAAAATTTCAGATACTGTCTCAAATTCAAACATGGGATAACTTAATTGTTCCAGTGGTAGATTCATTGAAATTTCTTACATCATTATCTTATGATGTTTTAGCATGTATCCTTTAAAATAAGTTATTTATGAGAGCTATTTCAAAATCAACTTTCAGTTGGCTGGTAAAAATAAATCAGTTGTTATAACAACCGCTTTGTTTATAGAATTAGTACAGTAATATTGCTAATATAGTAATAGTAATATTGCTGAATGCAGTCATTGTCAGTTATTTTTTATTTATGCATGAGTAGTTAGTAAACATGGACCTATTACCACCACTCCTGTCATCTGTAAGGTCTGTAGTGGGATATGTTTTCTGATAGTTATGTGAGGGATTGGTGCAGGAAATTTAGGGATGGATGCACAGTTGTGCATGACAAATTGGGTTTAAGGATGACATTAACTGCAACTGATGAACTTGTTGAAAAGTTTTCAACAAGTTCATGTTGTGCATGCAAAATGTCATTCTTCAAATTTCAAGCACTATTTTGATTATTCTGTTCTGTATTGTCACAGAGTGATGGGTTACCACAGATTTTGGGTTTGATGGATACCAACAACTGGCTGATGTTCACAAAACTCAAAGAATGGACTAAGCTTTGATGTTTATTCTGCATTGCCAGGAAGGCTTTACTCAAGCAGTTCAACTGGGAGATTTTCAACCACTCCTCTTATAGCCTGGACTTGGCACTAAGCAGTTACCATTCCTTCAGTAAGATGACATATCCAGCAGTTTGAAACCATTGAGGAGTTCATAGATGGAGTTAACAGTCTGGCAGAGTAACCTTGTAGTGCCATTCATTGGCAAGAGATTGCCAATTAACGACACCGCCAGGTCACAGTACAAGTGCCTGATTTTGGATAGCAACTATATGGAAAGTAATGTAGATACGTATGTAAATTTTTTATATGATACGTTTTTTTTCCCTTCTGTGACTTTTTCTGGCCAATCAGAGGTTGATTTTGGAATATCCCTGGTATATTAGTTACATATAGTTGTTTTCAAAAATTTTTTTCATATAATTAAGAAAAATGTTGGGTAAATTATTTGGTAACATCAAAATTAAAAAATCAATCACCATATTAAAGGCTTTTTCAGTTAATCTGAAAATAAAGTATAATTTTCTTTTTCTAAAACAGAATTAAAATTAAAATACATAATTTTGATCTTGAATGATATTAAAATATTGAATTTATTTACACACTTTGAATTTAATTGCACACTTTTAAATAGAGAATCCATGTCACAGTATTTGCTTAGGAGGTGAAAAAATTTAGATGAGTTGTTTTTTCTTTGTGTTACAATATTAATCTTGCTGATCTTTATTCTGAACTGAAGTTATAATGAATGATGAATTTATATCAGTAATCACACACCGTCACATACATTGGACATTGAATGGATAACACTATATCAATTTTTTTTGCAATGTTATTCCAGCTTTGCAAGGGAGAAATTGTTTGGACATCATAACGTTTATGCAAGGAGAGCACCAGTCTCCATATTGCATGGATGGCAATTCAATTTCTACATGTCATATTTGGAGACAATAGTGATTTCACAAAGTTTTTCAACTACTCGGTCAATTTTTTTCCAGATCTTTTGTAACTTCTGGTTATGGGGTTATTTGAAAAGTAAAGTTTATGAAAGCAGTGTTACAAATCTTGCCAAATTGAAAAGAAAGATTAGGCTGCATGTTTCAGCTATCTCATTTATGTGATGTTTAATAGACTACAGTTGATGCCGTTTTTAATCAATAGGATTTTGAAGTTTTTTAAAAGAATTAAAGAAAATGAAAATAATTTTGTTAAGATTATAACTGAGGACCTCAGAAAATTATTGAAGTCAAAGAGATCTTATACTAATAACTAGCAGATGAGCCTGATGTTGCTCAGATAAAAAGTAAAATAACGAAGGTTAAGATTATTAGATTATAGTCGATCTTACCCATTTTCACTGGGTGCAAGAATTAGGTCCTCCCTCTTCTGAGACTAATTAGAGAATTTTTAGATGGGTCTAAAAATATGTTTGATTTTCTGCAAAAACACATCTAAATAGTACAATAGAAGCCAAGTAATCAGGGTAATTGTTAACCCTCTTCCCCTAAGGGGGAATTTTGAAAATCTTTTCTTAGTGTACATTCTCATGACATACCCTGTGTACCAAATTTCATCTCCTAACTGTTTGGGCTCTACACTTATTATTATTATTATTATCATCAACCCATCTCAATTATATTATGAGATTGGTATGCAAAATTTAGTCACATGTTGGAAAGATACATAGTTTCTCATCTTTTATTAGACTCCACAGAACAGGATTGGTGTTTTTGGATTAAATATTCTAATATATTTATAATAATTTAATTGATTCCAAAAACCAATCTATAGAGAAAGCTAANTAATATATTATTGTTTCAGGTCTATTATTATTTTAACTTTTACAATAATATGTAGAATTTTTATTGTTATTTATGCAATTGATTATGAAAATTAGTTACGTTCAATTACATTTCTTTCTTTTCAAAATTATTTTAGTTAGAATTAAAACTTTTTGAATTTGTATTTAGAAATACCTGGGTATCAAGCAGCATAAGATAATTTTGATTGCTTTCTTAGTTAATTTTTACAAATTATATTTAGTTGATCAAAAAAATTCTACTCAAAGAGTTTGTTTTATAGAAAGTAATATACACATTGAATATCTATAAGTGATTAATTGTAACTTCAGAGCCTACTGAATAATATGGCTATTTTTAAGCTAAGTAAATAATTAGATAGTAATTAATTTAATTCTTCTTTGTCAATATCAATAAAAATGAAATTAATAAAAATTACAGAGCAAAATCAAGACAGTGTTTTATATGCTGGGAAGTAGGCTGTTCGGCATAAATGTCACACTAGGGAAAGTAGGATTCCTTGCCTATTTTACTTATATTCTAGAAAGTATACTTGCAGCTTTATGGCCATTGAAAATAAAATTGAAACTTTGTCTGTCTAAAACTTTTTTATAAAGTCTAAAAGATATAATCATATTGAATAAAAAAATTTCTAATTACAATAGAAGTTTACACTTTACAGCAGAATTAATTTCATCCTTAATTTTCAACATCCTTCCAACAATTGCTTGATTAGCAGATACTTCTGGAAATGAAATAAAAAAAGTTATCAAAATAAAATTTCTGTAGAAGTCACTAAAACTGTTGAGTACAATGAAATCAATTGACTTGGTTTAGTCAATTGTTCACATTCATATATTTTTGTACATAGTTTGCATACTGCAGCATAACAGATGACAATTTGGCTGATGCTTAACATTGCTAAACAATCAACATGCTGAATTTTATCACCAGTTTAACTCATGTGCTACAGACAGTTATCTAAATTGAAGAAAACTTTAATTGAATTTGAATGATTTTTCTCCTTTTAAAACTGGGGAAAATATTGACTAATATTTGATTATACAGTAATTGTTGCTAAATTTTGAATAGATAGTTTTTACTTTTGAAATCATACATTATAATAATATGTACTTACATTGATGCCCAAAATTAAAGCAGCAAACATAAGACCTGTATAAAATTAACACTGTGAAATGTGAATAACTGAAACATACATTATATGTAAATCAGCAAAGAGCTGTCCTATCATGCAGGTATCATGCAAATGAGGTACAGTAGCAGAGTGCTCATGCAACAAAATTTAGTGAGTATATACACAGTTTCTGACAGTCATCTGCTCAGACTGTTAACAATGAAGTGTTTCTGATTCATTATAACTTATCAAGCATACCTTGAAGAAGGCATTTGGATGATTCATTGCAATGGAGGACTGCTCATTTCTGTATTTTCATTATGTGCATTTGTATGTGTTGCTTTAATTTTGAACATGAGGATGTATGATACTTAAAATTGTTAAAAAAAAAATTTAAATTTGTATTTCAGGGAGGCTATTTTAATCAGATGAGAAATACCAAGAAGTCATCCTTAAGATTAAAAGAAGCTCTTTTGGAACAAGATCTAGCTTTGCCGTTATGTCTTCTAATGGCTCAACAAAGAAATTGTATACTGTACCATGAGCAGGAACATAGCCATTTAAAATTAGTCAGCAAACTTTATGATCAGGTTTGGATGTAACTTATTGTTGAATTGTTATTAGACTCCACAGAACAGGATTGGTGTTTTTGGATTAAATATTCTAATATATTTATAATAATTTAATTGATTCCAAAAACCAATCTATAGAGAAAGCTAAGTTTCATACTTAGTAACTTTTAAGTATTCCATTAACCTATCTTTTCTGCTATCAAATGGATATATCTATTCTAATTTGCCATTTAAAGTCAAAAGGTTTTTTTTGCAATTAAGACATAATAGTTTTTATATAAGAATCAAATTTTTTGAAATTAATCAATGTAAAATGTAGAATATGTCAAGAGTCAATATTAATTTTTCATATTCTTTGCAAATGTAGAAAATTAGTGAGTATTACAGAAAAATTTGATTTGTCTTAATTGGAAAATTGTTCTTCATAGAATGATCTGTATCAATTAATTTTTCAAGGTTCCTCAACATTTGTGTTAGTACTGTATAAATTTCCTTTTAAATTATTGTCTAATGCAGGATAGCTCTCCTGGAGTTTAGATTAGATTTTACCATTAATGTTTTTGTAATTACTATAAATAATAATTGTATACTATATAACTTACTTACCAAATTATTTTTTGTAGTAATCTCCTTGTAATGGGTGTATCCCATAAAACGCAAAGAAAGAAATTTGAATTGAATTGAAAATATAAAATATTTGAAAACAAATCTGATTTTAAGTAGAAGAAACTTGGTTGGAAAGAATTTCCTTTAAATATAGATAAATTATAAGATAAAATAAATATTTAAATTTTAAGTTGTAATAAGTTGGTATTTTTAAAATTTACTATTTTTAAAATAAATGAATTACATTTTACTTAATTTGACAAAGATTGTATAATTGAAGCATTGGTTAATCCAATGAAAGAGCGGATGAAACATACGGGAACTGGAATTTCTGTCTGGTTGCAGAGTAAGTCTTTTTTTTTTTTTCATTAATTAATGAATAAGTAAAAGCTTGTATGTGTACCTATACTCTTATATATGTAGAACTTTTAATACTGTCTATATTGGATATTTATTTTATACATATAAGCAGAGGTCACTCTGGAAAATTTAAAAATATTGCCACCATTTTGCAAGTTTTAAATTTTTTTACCAATTCAAATTATTTATCGCCACCAGTTTTACTGACTAATTAATGCAGGTGCTAATAGCCTTATCAGTATGGCGTCTGGAAAGCAAAACTAACATGTTAAACTGTCACTTACAAGGAGAGGGCCAGATGTTCGGGTCTCTGATTCAAATGAAACTTGGTGAGCATGTAGCCTTACACACAAACAGCTTCTTGTTTAAATAATAGGTCTCACTTTTCAAGCATTTCCAAAAAATGAACCTCTGAAAATTTAGTGTTTAGCTTATAAGTCTGAAAGTTTCATATCCAAGAGTGGCAATAGCTGAGTGAATAAGATGCTAAGCACTAGAGTTAGCCCTGATGGTTCAATCCTTTGAAATTTTAATTTAGTTTTTTTATGTGTAAAATGAATTATTTTATTATTTTACTGCATTATTATTACTTAGATGCAGATCTGTCCTTATTGGTGATGACTATCTTCAGGAGCTGATAATTTCTTGTTTAAAGACAGAGGTCTTCCTATCCTTCTCTGTTTCTCTCTCTCTTCATATCTGCAGTTTAGGGGCAATTTGACTGGTTGGGGGACGACTGAACTGGACTGGCTGGGGACCGCCAAACTAGACAACCTTTTTGTCCTTTTCTCTTTTTTATTTTATAAGGTTCAGTCTTCTCTTCAGGTTGGAATGTTTCCAAAAATGTAAAATCAGATGAAGAACACCATTGTTGACCAATATCGTAATTTCTACTTCTTCCCTGGGTGAATTGTCTCTCCAGGAAGAGCCATTTAGAAAGGAAGTGTTATCATGGAGGAAATCTTGTTACTTCCTCGTTGATTTTTTCAATAATTTTTCTTTATGTTAACTTTAAAATATTAAAATGTTGATTCTCACAAAATCATAGCCAAGAATCTCATATATTCAATATATACATATATAAATAAAATATATATATAAAAGATACAACATATTGCATCACAGAGCAGCAAATTGTGAGAAATAGGGATAGAACAGGAAATACATATTTGTATCTGGGACAGAGCTGCTTGTTGCTGTTTGGAATAATTTGTTGTGTCCGTGCAGTTTCACATTCCATGCTTTGTGAACGAATTAGAATTGACACATAATTATCTGAAATTGAATAATTTCAAATTTCATGTTTTGTATTCTGCTATTCATATGTTTAGAGTGCCATTTCATACTAAATTGATCATGCTTCACAACTTTATAATAGACTTTTTTCCTGTATTTTGCATTGTTTCTGAGATAGGAGCATTAACTTTCAAATTTTATGGATAGGGGTGCTGCAAGCAGTCTTATCTTGTACTGTATAGTCACTTTATTATAAATATATATCATGATCATAACTGTAGCTATCTGCATTCTTCAGTTAAATGTGTGTATAAGGACTTTGTTATGCACCCATTATGTATACATGTATACATTTACACTGACAAAATATAAATTAATTAATTTTGTGCTTAGTAATTCAATTAAGTAATTTAAAAAATAACATTTGTTCTTTTAAATTTGTTTTAAATTAATTAATGAAATATGTTATTACATAATGTATTTTAAAAATATTAAGAAAAATATTGTTATATAATTTTTATTTAATAATGTGACAACTATTTTTTAATGATAGGTTTGTCCAGTTTTTGTGGTGCTATTTTTAAAAAATATCCTATTGAACTTACTGGATTATTGCAGTATGTTGCAAATCAGTTAAAAGCAGAAAAAAGGTAAGTTATTTTCACATAATTTCATACAGTTAATTTGTATTTTAGAATAAATTAATAATTTTTATTTCTTAGCTTGGACTTGTTAGTTTTAAAAGAAATTGTTCAAAAAATGGCGGGTATTGAAGCATCGGAAGAAATGACACTCGAACAGCTAGAAGCTATGGCGGGAGGTGAATTACTGCGAGCTGAGGTTAATATAATTACATTTGTCAAATAAATTATATTTTATATTCTTATTCATTGAATAATGAATTTGTAACTGAAGCTGACTCAAATAGTTGAAAACATTTCCAATATAAAATATTTTTAGCTTCCTGAATAAGCAGTTTTAATTTCTAAATGATCATGGTGTCAAGTTTTAAGGACTATGTTGACTTACAATATTTTATCATTGATACCAGAACAAATTCAATTAAAAAAAATACTGTTAAATATAATTCAATTTTTATTGTTTTGCTGTTTATATTCTTCATATGACCATACTTTGATATTAGAACATTATCTGAAATGAGTAAATTTGAGAACTATTATCTGATGAAAAATATAGCACTAAAAAATATTACAGGTTATAAAGAGATTTAAACTTGTTAATAATAAAATTAGTTAATAATAATAGACCTGAAACAATAATACAGTAGAACCTCGATTATCTGGACTAATTGGGGATGAAGGTAGTCCGGATAAGGAAAAATCCGGATAATCGAAACAAATACTTTAATTTGTCTTTTAATGATAATGCAACACGTTTTCTTTTCGATGACATATCGGTAATATTAAAAATAAATACTGTATTTAAATTGTGATCAAATTTTCAAGAAACAAACATTCGTATTGAATTTTGGACTACTACTGACCAGTGCTATTCTATTCGTCTCCCCCTGGTTCATATGGAGATATCAGCCTTAGTGTGCTTTTTCTCCGATAAGTTCTGACCAGCGCTAACAGACTACCTATTGTTTAAAAGGCCCTCTGGTGGTGGTGCAAGAAGATGGATTTTATAAAATAAAAAGCAGTTGAAACTGCATTTTTATGAATAAAAATTTGACAAACTATTTATCGTTTTATGACGAGCAAAACTTTTTCGTCATGTTCGCGGCTTTTAAGTAATGCATAAACCTTCGAGGTGAGAGGCCCTTTGGACCAAGAGGCATAGGCGGTGGCCCACATCGTCCATGCCTTACGCCACCCTTGGTCATAGAAATGATGTAATTTGAATATAAATTATTTATAAATACGTATGTCAAGTTATATTTTTATTACTACGTAAAATATATTTAAGAGTTTACGACCACTGTGCTGGGTGAGACGTTGTTGAAACAAAAAAAGTTATGCATTCCATCACNTGAAGCAATGCTAGTGTTGATTTGGAAGAGCCTAACATGGCAAGTGAAGGTGTTTCTGACTTTAATTTTATGGAAAACAGTGAGTTATAACTTACTTAGAGTTGTATGTTACTTCAAAAGAAAAAAAAACTGTAGGTGAGAATGTAGGAATTAAAGCACATCTTAGATTTGAGTAAATACAGTATAAAAGCCCTTGATATATTTTTAAGTATAAAATAATAATTAGCTTGTTTTTCCTAATGAACTTTTAATATGATTTTACAAAATAAATAAATATTCAGAACAAAGTTGAATATCATTTACTGTTAATTGAAATGAAAGTAGCACAAATCTTGCACATACCTACATTTCTGTTACATAAATTGCAATGTTTTTAATGAATTTCTTCAGTAAGTTACTTGTTTACAGTTTAATTGTATATACATATTAGCAGAAATCAGAATAACAAAAAATGCAAATTGCTAAGCTTCATTTTAGCAATGCTTTTGATGGAATTTTAATTCTTATAGTCTTAAATTAATTTATATGGTTGTAATATTCTTAAAAAATTACTGGATGCCATGTAGATGATCGTGAGTACCATTTCACTTGTTGCAGTTTCTTTTTGCATACTCTAAAGCATATTTTATGTTTGAAATTTCAATAAAATTAATGTACTTTTAATTTAAAGATTTATGTATAATTGCTTCTTGATTTATGGGCTTTTTTTTCCATTTAATTTTTTTTGATTTTACTGTTGTTTGAAACCTCCATTTTTAATGTAACATTATGATTAAGCAAGAATAGGAGAATAAATATGTATTTATTCATTTTTATTTTTAAAATGTAGTTTTAATTTATTTGTTGCTAAAATTAATGTGATGTTTTAATATGTAAAATATTTAATTAAGTCATTAGTATTTTTTGATTTTGAATTATTTATTATGTTATTAATTAGTATATAATATATTATTTTATAAAATTTAATTAGGAATCAGAAAATTTATTTATAAAATTAAAGTATGAGTATTTAAGTTATTTGTCACAGTTTCAGAAATATATAGAAGCAGTAGAAAAAGTAATGGGTCCTGTTGTAGAATCTGTGCGTCCTCTTCAGTTACCAAAAACATGGGATGATCTAAGGTATGTGCAAATAACATGAGAGTGAATTTAGTTGATTTACTGTAGTTTTACATTGTTTGTACTTAAGTTTTTAAGTTTTATTCATTTATTTATTTTTTGTATATTATTCAAATGTTTACATTCTTAACACTTCACCTACAAAGCTATCCAAATTAAATCCGTGCTTTATCTACCACAATTAATTTAAACCACAATTAAAAAAAAACTGTATAAAAATTTAAAAATAATCGAAAAAATGCTTTTTTTGATAGAAAAACATTCCCTGCAGCTATATTTATCATTTTACAAGACTGAAATTTCACACTTGCAGTCTACATTGTTTACAACTGAATGACCTTGAGAACAGCTGATGGCAGCTTTCCCAGGTTGTTTATATGTATGCCTCAGGGGAAGACGGGTTTAAAGCAGGAGGGGATCTAGTTTACCGCATATGTTCAAATATAACACAAAATTTCCGATTTTTATTCTATTACAATACAGGGGGGCAAAAAAAGGTATAGGGAAAAATTCTACTGAATAAAAAACAAAAAAACCTGCTTATGTCAGAAATCATCCAATAGCATTTAAAAAAGTTTTACCGATGTCAAATCGGTCAAATAGAAGTTTAGAACAATTTAATTAATCTGATAAAAAAAAACTCCCATAAAAAAACAATAGTGCAATTAATTATCTAATTAAAAAGTCGTCATAAAAATTTTCACAGCAAAATTAATTTATGAAATTTGCATAGGTGATAGATAACGATGTATATATGCTGATCCATACATTTTTGGAAAAGTTATAAGTCAAGATCTTTTTTGAGGTTCCTTAAGGCCTATGCTCGAATTAACTTGGGCGAAGAATTACACAAGCACTGGCCTTGCCCGAGTTAACTTGGGCTAAGGACTTAAGGGGTTTTAAGTTGTTATAAAAGTGACTGACAAATATTGCTAATTTTAGCTTTATATTAATGATAATTTTGTTTAAATCAAATTCTTTTCCCAAATAAACTATAAATAAATGTTAGTACAAATCCCAAATCACTAATTATCACAGATTATCCACTAAGTAATTTTTAAATAAATATAATAAATTTAAAAATATTAAGTATAGATTCAAAAATGCCAAGAATAAGTTAAAAANTATAATTTTGGCCTGTACCTTTAAGGACTCCCCTCATAGTTGTCGTGCGTGCTGTCTAACTTTATGGAATTTGTTATGGATGGTTTGGGTGGACGAAGATGTACCTGTTGATAGCAAAAGGCAGCCTTGAATGTCACATGCCATGGCAAATGGGATCCAACAGGCCATTTGGTGAATCTGCCACTCTGTGCTCTCTGTTGTGTACCAGTGTGATCCACTCTCTCTTCAGTGTGTTTGCAGATGTTTTTGCATCCATTGTATCACACATCACTGGATGGTATGCATGTTGTGCCCAATACATGTCGCTACTGTGTGCATCAACAAATGTAGATCATACAGCTCCAGGATATGATCTCATTTTCCAGCCATCAAATGGTAGTATTTAGTTTGCTGTTGTCTCAAAGGAATTTATACTTTCTCAAAAGTTTGGCAAACCATTGCTGATAGCATTTATGGCACAAGCTGGCTGCTGTCTTCATAAACCAAAACTGGGTACCACATGAACCAATGCATATGCAAACTTAATCATTTGCATATCTCTCACCTCTACTGGTCCTGCAATTTTCATGTGACTACGTGTATTTCTTCTTGGTGTTCCAATTTCATTTTTGAGGAGTATATAATATGTTAAATTTCACAAATGTTATAGTTAAATCACACAACTACATTAAGATACTGAAGTCAACAGTGTGCAACCAATAAATGCAACTTTAATTTTATTATACAGTATCTACATATTTTATTTATGGTTTCGTGTTTAAATTTATTATTAGGGCTTATTTGTGTTATTTTTAACTTAAATTATGTGTATTTGATATTTTAAGTTCATTGAAAATGGTATTGTTCAGGGTCTCAGAATGGATTGATTTGATTTCCCTCATTTCTAATAGAAAAAAATTGATTCGGACTTCAAATGATTTGGAATTTGAACAAACTGCTGGAATGAATTAAATTCACAGTATGAGGCACCACTATATATTTAAAATTATTATAATTTTTTTTTGTTTATTTTTTAAAGCAGGCCTGACCAACTTGTAGTGGATTGTGATAGACTTTCACAAATCAAAAGCCCTTTTTATGTATTTGACATTTTTATTTTCTTCATAATTGTTAAATAATCTACGTTAATAAAATTATGCTGCAAAAAATAGTTATATTTATTTATTGTACAGTAATTAACATTCCAGGTTATCTCCTTTTGGTAAAGACACTAATATATAAATAAATGACATTTATTTTCTTCACAACAAAAGACAGTTTTACTTCTTTTCTATTGTGCAAATCACAATGAAATAAATAACATTGAGGACACTGTGTTTAATAATGAAACAAAATGCCCATGCATATGCCAGGCAAAAAACAAAAGAACACATGCTTGAATGTTAGTATAAAATTTTGAATTTTAACATTAATTCATTCTAAATGGAACACAATTATGAAATTTGAAGATCTTGAAGCAGTTATTAGATTTGAACATAAGGATGAATTGATCACCGTGTAGAAAGTCAACTGCTTAGAATGTAGATTAGTGTTACTTTACCATAGCAATTCTTTGCCAAAAAGAATTACATTCAAGAAGTAGCAGTCTTCTTATACATTACTTTGTTAAGGATTTATACAGTGTGATTTGCAGTCTTGGAGCACCGATATTGGTTTGCTGCAGGGCCCAAGTTTTTGTGAACAAAACCTCCCAGCTTGATGATTTTTCAGTCCATACATCATGCTGCTCATTCCAGGCAGGTACAAAATTATGCTCTATTACTTTTTAGCTAGCTCTATGGTATATCTGTTGTTACATATATCTCCCTGATGTTCTAATATGCAATTAATTAGCATTTTTGTTGTGTCCCCTATGTAATATATTTTTGTACTACTGTTTTGGGGTAGTAGCATTATCAAGTAAATGCCTGGATTTTCTCATGTGGATAAGCTGTTTGTAATTTCGTATAATATTATGCATTTTCTACGCAAAGTCATTTGTGATTTTATTGAGAGAGAAAGCCTAAATTTTCAAAATTTTGTGATGTTCAGAGAGATCAATCCAAAATACAGAATAGAGGGGCTTATGAGAGTGAGATTTCCTTTTTGTGGATGTAAAGCTATGGGTATGAAAAGTGATCTACATATTAGGGCATTGATGTACTTGAACTTTGCATGTGGGTATCCTGCATTACATACTGCTGTGGCAATGATCAAATTTCTTTATGTATCAACATTTGCGAGGAGGAAAGTAAGTATGCTCTATGAACAAGTGCCACAATAGGATTATTTACATACTTAGAGGGATGGAAAGATGTGGCATGTGTGATGAGGGGTGTTTTTTCCAGAGAAGTAGACTTTTTATTAGAGCCTATTCATTCACTATATGCAAAAAACATTTTAAAAACTTCAGGGTTGTGGCATAATTATAAAATAATGAAATTTTTAATTAATACATTGGCCACTGTTGCATTCCTGAGGTGTATGAAAGGATATAATGAAGATGTTTGTAGTTCTTTCTGTTTTTATAAGTTAATAAAATAACAACATTGACAGACAGCACATTTCTTTGTACCTGCCATATGTTTTCTCTTAGAGCATGGTGTTATCAACTCATAACAAATAGTTAAAAGATTTTGTCTTGAAAAGTATATGAATTTAATATTCCTCTTAAAATAACAAATATTTATTTTTGTGTTTTAATGGACCATATTACCTGCAATTGACCAAAAATGATACAGTGATCGATTGGTCAGTCACAATCAACTTGTTGGCCTGGCCTACTCTAGAGTATATATAATGATGACAAATTTTAATTTTTTAGAAATTTTTGTCAAATTTTATATGTATTTTTATATAAATTCTTAGTTACATAAATAAACAACATACAATTTACTTCAGGAATAATTATTATTATATAATTATAATAACCAAACAATTTTATACTGTTACATTGAGATGGCCATACAATTTATTGAAAACAATTCATTTTAAAATATTTCTGGCTTTTGAACTTAGCAATTATTTTGTTAATAAATCAATATGGTGCTAAGTTTATCAGTTTTTAAGATAAATTTTTAGTTGCTAATAAGATAAACGAGTGTCTTTTTTTTATTAAAGTGACAAACAGATATTTAAGAATCAGAATATGTCTCTAATTATTATTATTTTTTGTTTTCAGTGTCAAGATACATTAGTGCAGTTTGGTTCTTTTTTGTCAAATAGTCTCAGTATGGAGGATTACGTAAATAGACTTCCTTCAGTTGATCGACTTTTGTCGGAATATTTTATTCAAGCCGATGTGGCATTTTTTCTAGCAAGACCAATGTTTAATTATATCATAAATGTAAGAATTTGTCTTTTTGTAAAAATTTAAATTTTGTGTCTTAATAATTAAAAAAGACTAAAAATATTAACATTATTCTAAAAATAATTTTACATTTGTTTTACTTTCCTCAAACTTTTTGAATAGACTAATTAATTATGGTGTATATTAATTATATATTTACGTAAATTTATACGGTGGTAGGAAATTTTTAATACAGATTTGTACAAAAATTGAAATTCAATTTTCTTTATTAAATATAAAAGACAAGAAAGTTTTAGCATAACATTTCTCTTTGTGTAATGTAAATGTATTATATTTTATTAAGGTATTTGAATGAATCAATAACAAGAAATTAATTTTTCTTTTTTTTAAAATCATCTAATGTTATAGAATAAAATATTATCTTATGACAGAACTTTCAGTGATTGAAAATAGAAAATAAAATTATAAACATATCTATTCAGCATGCAAATATCAGATAATACCACCAGATTCAGTTGACAAGATACTACAAATTACTCATTATCAAATCATGAGTAAAATTTATGGAAAAAAAAAATGATTAAGGCAGTCATGGAAGTTAAGATGTCAATCTACTATTTATTCAGTCCTGAGTCTGAGGGACTCGGGATTGAATCCAAGCATAAAATGAAAAAAGTAAAATAAAAATAAAAAAACAGGAATGTTTAGATGATGGTCTATGCTGACTATGTCAAGCCCATCTCTCACCATTTGGTCATATGTATATATATCGTATATAATATTTATAATGTTAATCGAATGGAATATTGTCAGATTCCATGATTGTTTTGAATATTCCAAATTAGATTGTCTTCAATACAAATATATAATTATGTACAGTCTTATATTATGCAGTCTGTCTTAGATCTATAAAATATATTCTTGAATTTGAAAATAATCTAACATCATTTAAATTTTTAATGTATCATTTATTTATTTTAATGCTTAAATATCTTTATTTTAGAATAAAAGTTGATTAAATTCTTAATTAAAAATGTTATAAATGTTAATTGTGATTCTCTAAATATTAAATTATAATTAAAAATTGAAAACATTGATTAAAATATGAGAAGTTACGTTATTAATTCATTTAAAAAAAATTAACATGGAAGATTCTAAGTGAATTTGTGATTTTGAATTAATTATTATTATTATTTTTTAACTCAGTCTAAATATGAAGAAATGAAAAAGCAAGATAAGGCATTAAAAAATATAACATCAGTGGAAAAAGTAAGTGGAAAAATTTATTAAATTAATTTTTTAATTGAAAAATTGAAATTTTAGACTTAAAATTATATGTATATATGTACTAAGAGAAAGTTATTCAATTGAAAATGTAATTACTGTATTTACTTGATGTAAGATGCACTTTTTACATTCTTTAGTTTCTCTGAAAAAAGCTTTTTCCTTAGATTCATTGTAATAAATGTAATACATAATAATTAATGATCTCTAGTGTCACGTTCCTTATTTGTGTCACTAATTTCTTGTTTAATTTTAATGATTTTATTAAGCCAATATTTATAATAGAAAATGTTCAACCCTTTGATAAGTAGGTTTACTGATGGATCCCTCTCTTCCCAGAGTGAGAGTTTTTAAACTAGGGACAGTTCGTTTTTTGTCTGAATATGAGCTATGAATTGAGTCAAAGCATTAGCACTTCAATAGTAATGTTTCGGGAGCCATCTGTAATGATTACTTGTTGCTGGCATAATAAAAAATAAAAAAAATTGAATGTGTTTGTACAGTTAGGTCAATGTGACAATATTCAAGGTAACAACCTTGAATATTGTCACATTGACCTAACTGTATCTTAAAAATGAAATTATGAACCTTGATTTTATTACATTTTTATTCTTGTGTAATGTAAAATGACAAAGTTTAATCAAAATTGATGTCATGTTTGTCTTTATGGTAGTAAATTCTATGTTAAATTTATGAAACTTACAGAAATTCTGTAAAAAAATGTTTAGACCCTATCAGTAGATCTCTGTAGCTAGCCAAAACATTTCACATTTGCTGATAAATATATGAGCATACTATTAATACAATGAGACAAATTTAAAAATGTGTGTATACATGCTTATTCTGTACAGCTGACCACATGTAGCATGTACATTTATAGGAGTATGAATCAAAGGGTTAACAGGTCAACATAGTCTAGTCTTGTTAGTCTACTACAGTAATATCATAAGTATTTGGATGAAAATTCCAAAAAAAGTTGCATATCACTCTTTCAAGAAATTTTGTATTTTTGATGCTTTAAACAACATTGATTATGACAACATGTGGGAAGATATGAACATTGAATGCAGTCCTGATTAGTGTAGTTTTAGCTTTGAAGGTATTTGATTTTAGTTTATGAAAACTAAGGAATATGACTGAAGCAATGCTAGTGTTGATTTGGAAGAGCCTAACATGGCAAGTGAAGGTGTTTCTGACTTTAATTTTATGGAAAACAGTGAGTTATAACTTACTTAGAGTTGTATGTTACTTCAAAAGAAAAAAAAACTGTAGGTGAGAATGTAGGAATTAAAGCACATCTTAGATTTGAGTAAATACAGTATAAAAGCCCTTGATATATTTTTAAGTATAAAATAATAATTAGCTTGTTTTTCCTAATGAACTTTTAATATGATTTTACAAAATAAATAAATATTCAGAACAAAGTTGAATATCATTTACTGTTAATTGAAATGAAAGTAGCACAAATCTTGCACATACCTACATTTCTGTTACATAAATTGCAATGTTTTTAATGAATTTCTTCAGTAAGTTACTTGTTTACAGTTTAATTGTATATACATATTAGCAGAAATCAGAATAACAAAAAATGCAAATTGCTAAGCTTCATTTTAGCAATGCTTTTGATGGAATTTTAATTCTTATAGTCTTAAATTAATTTATATGGTTGTAATATTCTTAAAAAATTACTGGATGCCATGTAGATGATCGTGAGTACCATTTCACTTGTTGCAGTTTCTTTTTGCATACTCTAAAGCATATTTTATGTTTGAAATTTCAATAAAATTAATGTACTTTTAATTTAAAGATTTATGTATAATTGCTTCTTGATTTATGGGCTTTTTTTTCCATTTAATTTTTTTTGATTTTACTGTTGTTTGAAACCTCCATTTTTAATGTAACATTATGATTAAGCAAGAATAGGAGAATAAATATGTATTTATTCATTTTTATTTTTAAAATGTAGTTTTAATTTATTTGTTGCTAAAATTAATGTGATGTTTTAATATGTAAAATATTTAATTAAGTCATTAGTATTTTTTGATTTTGAATTATTTATTATGTTATTAATTAGTATATAATATATTATTTTATAAAATTTAATTAGGAATCAGAAAATTTATTTATAAAATTAAAGTATGAGTATTTAAGTTATTTGTCACAGTTTCAGAAATATATAGAAGCAGTAGAAAAAGTAATGGGTCCTGTTGTAGAATCTGTGCGTCCTCTTCAGTTACCAAAAACATGGGATGATCTAAGGTATGTGCAAATAACATGAGAGTGAATTTAGTTGATTTACTGTAGTTTTACATTGTTTGTACTTAAGTTTTTAAGTTTTATTCATTTATTTATTTTTTGTATATTATTCAAATGTTTACATTCTTAACACTTCACCTACAAAGCTATCCAAATTAAATCCGTGCTTTATCTACCACAATTAATTTAAACCACAATTAAAAAAAAACTGTATAAAAATTTAAAAATAATCGAAAAAATGCTTTTTTTGATAGAAAAACATTCCCTGCAGCTATATTTATCATTTTACAAGACTGAAATTTCACACTTGCAGTCTACATTGTTTACAACTGAATGACCTTGAGAACAGCTGATGGCAGCTTTCCCAGGTTGTTTATATGTATGCCTCAGGGGAAGACGGGTTTAAAGCAGGAGGGGATCTAGTTTACCGCATATGTTCAAATATAACACAAAATTTCCGATTTTTATTCTATTACAATACAGGGGGGCAAAAAAAGGTATAGGGAAAAATTCTACTGAATAAAAAACAAAAAAACCTGCTTATGTCAGAAATCATCCAATAGCATTTAAAAAAGTTTTACCGATGTCAAATCGGTCAAATAGAAGTTTAGAACAATTTAATTAATCTGATAAAAAAAAACTCCCATAAAAAAACAATAGTGCAATTAATTATCTAATTAAAAAGTCGTCATAAAAATTTTCACAGCAAAATTAATTTATGAAATTTGCATAGGTGATAGATAACGATGTATATATGCTGATCCATACATTTTTGGAAAAGTTATAAGTCAAGATCTTTTTTGAGGTTCCTTAAGGCCTATGCTCGAATTAACTTGGGCGAAGAATTACACAAGCACTGGCCTTGCCCGAGTTAACTTGGGCTAAGGACTTAAGGGGTTTTAAGTTGTTATAAAAGTGACTGACAAATATTGCTAATTTTAGCTTTATATTAATGATAATTTTGTTTAAATCAAATTCTTTTCCCAAATAAACTATAAATAAATGTTAGTACAAATCCCAAATCACTAATTATCACAGATTATCCACTAAGTAATTTTTAAATAAATATAATAAATTTAAAAATATTAAGTATAGATTCAAAAATGCCAAGAATAAGTTAAAAATTATAGTTTTGTACAGTAGACCCCCCTATAACGCTTAGATACGTTCCACGCTAACCGAAAATTACGTTGTAGGAATGAGCCAATCGCAGCCCGATAGGTGGGAACTTTACGGACTAAGGCTGTTCGAAAGGTTTTCTTCTATAAAATTAACCGATTCTAGACTAATTCCACTCAACATTTCCAAAATACGTATAATTTTTTGGGAATAATCTGTATAAACTATGCTATAAACAAAAAATTGTAGGATTACTTACACCGTTCGACTACGCCGTTGCTTAAAGCTGGTTTTCATCGCGGAACAGCACGCGAAACGACGGCCGCAATTTCTGATAACGAATTTTTGGCGGAAAAATAACTTGACCTTTGGAGACATCATTAATATAAATAATTTTTATGGACGTTGAATAAGAAGTGTTTCTTTCACAAGAAATGTATAAAATTAGTGCTGTATTAGACTTACGGTACCTAATTTACATACTGTGCAGACGATAATAAACTCAACTTACTAGCCTAAAATCTCCGTAGCGTGTTGCCAGGCGGCAGAAAGCATATATATAATTATAATAAAGTTACAATAAATTAAGTTAATATATAATTATATATACAGTACCTAATTTATATATAATTAATATATAATTATATGTACAGTACCTAATTTATATATAATTTATATATAATACTAAACAGACGATAGCAAACTCAATTTAGCCGCTCCGTAGCGTGGCGCAGGGTCGGAGGAAAGTAGTTCGGCTGCTCATTCACTATTGGTCCAGACTCTATCAATCTTGTCGCGAAACGACGTTATAGGAGGTACGTTATACGAAAGTTGCTACAATTTTTTCGCTACGTTATAGGAATTGTCGTTATAGGAACGTACGTTATAGGGGGGTCGACTGTATATAAAAAGAATACATTTATACCACTGAGATTCGAAACACAACCCTTGCGATTATGAAACTGGCACAGACCCACCAAGCCACCAGTCACTCTATTAATAACAGATATTTTAAAGATTTTAAGTGATTTGAAATTTTCAACTTCAGCTTTCTCCTTTAATTTTGAGTATTGTGCCTTACTGCTTGGTACAAGTCACTCGTTGAGGCTGCATTATAACCTCAGTTTGATCAAAATAGGTGACCCCCAACATCACGCCCTCCCCTTGTAAGCTATATACTAAGCCTGTTGTTTACCTGTTTTATATCCCAGCTAATTCACCCGATCTTATTGGTTACATGTTTTTTTTGTGCTCTGATAAAAGGAGCATACTGTTACTGTACAAACGTGGAAAGATGAAGAGCTTAAAAGGATTTTTCATAGCAAACACACTTTGTTCAGGAGGGCCACCATCCTTATACAAGCATAATGTGGTAAGAATGGTGCACAAAACCAGTTGGTCTTGCCAATTTTGTTAAATTTATGTATTCATCAAGTATAACTCCAAAACATAAAGAACAGACAAAATCTTGTGGATACAGAGTAGTAGATAAGCGGAAAACTATGCTATTATAAATGGTTAAGGACTGATACGGACAATATCTCAAAAGAGTATAGAATAGGAGTTTATGTCAAACTGGCAAAAAAAAAAAAAAAAAAAAAAAAAACAATAGCTTAGGAATAAAACATCTTATATAGGATACACTAATCGAAACCTGGTACAGTTGTTGTATGAACATCAGTATGGATGTCTGGAACTGTTAAAACAACACAACATTAGCTTGTTACACTAGCCTGGAAAATATGAGGATATAGTAGAACAAGGCTAGACTAATTTGAATTATCAGATTATCCACTATTTTGAATTATCAGATTATTGAGATTTATAGGCAGAAGATTAAAAACTTATGCCTAAATGCAAAAGATATAAAGACACTTTTCATAGTATGGAAGTTTATTATATACAACTCCATTAAGAGAATGCAGTCTTGATAAATTGATTGGGTCTTGTATATACATTGTACAGTTATTAATTAATTATTTGTAGGGTTATATCCAAAGTTACATTAGTTTTAAGTATGATATGATGTTATCTGTTGAGAGTTGCATCAATGAATTGTGCATCTTTCAATTTAATTTTAATTTTTATGTTGTAATGTTTTTTGAATTCAAATGTGATTCCTGCTGATGATCTATGAATAAGATGAAAATGTTAGAATTCTTTGTGCCTCTAAGTCCTTAATATTTCAATTTTTTTTTATATTGTCCATGTAGCCCTTGTTTATAAATAGGACTTATTATAATGGTTTCACCTGATGAAAATACTTCAGGTGAAAATAAAGATACTTTTGTTTTATTTTTGACTAAAACTTCTTCCTTTTGCTAATTCAAAACTACACCAGTAAGTCCTGTTTATAAACAAGATGTATGTGGACAATATAAAAACAAAAATATTAGAATTTTTGTATTATTTTCCTGATACTGTGGTGGAATTTTATAACTTTTTGCAATATTAAAATTTTGCCACAATTTTGTATCAGGTTCACCAACTAGTCTTCATCGTACATCGTTTATACAGTAATGCAGGGTTCTCACAAAAGATTTGTGGGAAAGGCCCTTGCTTTATGCTGCAGGTATTATGTGTAGTCTGCTAGTCCAAATGCACTGTTTTACTAAAACTGAAAGTTTAGTAAATATATTATGTATATGCTGTTGATCATAAGATTAAAATAAATTTTGTGTCTATTTCAGTGCACAGTTTTATGTCACTTTTTGGTCTCTTTCGATGTACGATCTGCATGTCCCAAGTACAAGTTATGAACGTGAAATAAATAAATTAAAAATTCAGATTGCGCAAGTGGAGGATAATAAAGACATGGTAATTTATTTTTATATATAATAACGCTAATAAATTTTTAAGATATTTTCTTTAGCATGTTTTGTGTAAAATATTTTAAATAGTTCCTTCATCATTAAATATAATATCAATGACAAACTGGATTTTTTTCAATAATATTTTATTATTATTACTTATTTTGGATAAACTCGGGAACTTATTTGTTTGAATAGTATTTTCAGATATATTTTGATGAGATTAAGTTGAATGTAACTCACTTTTCCAACCCAAAATTCATTATTTTGTTTATTTTGCACTTTATTGGATATTTTAGAATGTTTATTTTAATTTTGAAGTATTTTCAAACCTTTCAACTCATCATTAAGAGTAAAAAAAAATTTCTTAAATTATGCAAATACCAGATAGATCATTATTGACTTTCAGTTTCAAATAGGATTTTATTAAGTGTCATCATCTCAAACAATTCAATGTCACACTACCTACAATATAAACTGTTACGGCAAGTTTTAATGAAATGAAATGAATCTTTGTCTTCCTGCATTGAGCAAACAGTATTGTTATTTAATATGCTAAAACACTTTTACAACTATCAAAGTCATATTTTTAGTCCTTAAAAGTTTCTTCTCTAAATTTTTGTGTGGATAAATAGTTTGGAATTAAAATATTAAGAGCTGAGATTCGATGCAAAAGAAACTAAGATCTTCAATAAAGTAGGGAACAATAGTCAACAAAATTATTGTTTCTAGTTAAAATTTTCTACTGTAGGGTCTTGTTTTATGCGGGATTGAAATATGTGAACTTGTTTCTGTGAATGGCAAATGGTTAGGTTAAATCATGGGTGCTCATGGATAATTCTGACTGTTAATGGATATGCTGACTATTTTTATTATTAAATTTAGTATATATACTAAAAGCATGTGTAAAATGTTTTAAACACATTTTAAGGTTTTTTTTTTTTTTGGTCTATTAATTATAAATGGTTGCATAAATATCTAAACAATTGTCTCTTTATGGTGAAACACAAATTTATTTGGAATCTCATTATATGTAGTATAGTACATGCCAATATGCAACTTCATGTAAAAGCAAGACCTTATTCATATTAAAATTTGATAAAATAATAAAGATAATTTTGTCATTAAATATGTCATTTCATTTTAATGCAACACAATGAAAATGATTTAATTGTAAAATTTAATGAATGTTGGAATGAGTAGAAATTTTTAGTAGATATTTATTATTAAAATATATAATTTTATTTTGCTCCTTATCTCAATCTAGGTTCAGAGTAAGAAAAAGAAAGAAAAGGAAAGGTGTCATGCACTTATCGAAAAACTTGTAGACGAAGAGAAACGCCAACAGGAACATTGTAACCGTGTATTAGCTCGATTAAAAAGTGAGAAAGATGCCTGGTTTCAATCACGTATGTATCTAAAATTTTATTACAATCAAGAAATGGCATATTTATTAACTTAATATTCCAAATTAATCATTTTAGGTTCTGCAAAGAATGAAACTATCACCCAGTTTCTACAGCTGTGTGTGTTTCCTCGGTGTATATTTACTTCTATTGATGCATTGTATTGTGCAAAATTTGTCCACCTTATTCATACCTTAAAAACACCAAATTTTTCTACATTAATATGCTATGATAGGGTAAGTGAAATTTAGTTAACATTTTTGATCTTGTTATCTAGAAATAAATAACTTCATTATTTTTAATTAAGATTTCAAAAATTACTTTTTGAAATCTTATTATACAACACATAACAATACCATATATAGTAATCAAAATAACATTTTCCTTATGTCTTCCAGCAATAGTTTACTAGAAACAAATCTTTTTGACCTAGTTTGTGGGCCTAATTCAGGTTTTAGAAAGCTAGATGCAGGCCTATAAACTAGGACGAAAACATTTGATTCTAATAAAGTATTGCTGGAAGATATAAGGAAGTATTATTGTGAACATAGAACTATTACTCTATTTTAAATATTAGTAGATTATTAATTTTATAAGTCCAGTTATGATAGTGGATTGATTTTAATGTTAAAAAGAGCAATTTTAATTAAGTGTGTAATTTCACTGTTGTTACAGATATTTTGTGACATTACTTATACTGTTACGGCATGCACGGAGAATGAAGCGAGCCGTTATGGACGCTTTCTGTATGCTATGTTAGAAACTGTTATGAGATGGCACAGTGATAAATCAATTTTCGAGAAAGTAAGTTTAAAATTTTAAGTTTATACTTAAATTATAAGAATTATCATCATCACACACAGATTACCGATACCAGGCCTGGCCAACTTATAGCAGGGAGGATTGACTTTCATGAGTGAGAAGCATTGATGATCTACTCCACACTTTTGTTTTAAAAAAGCTTAATAGTCCACTCTAATGACATTATTCTACAAAACATAATTGTATGTATGTATGTTTATATTGTATGATAAATAACATTCCAGGTTATCTCCTTTTGGTAAACATGTTAAAGTATAAATTAAATGACACCATTTATTTTTCACCATAACAAAATATCATATTTCTTTGTCCCAAAAAGTACAAGTTTTGCTTCTCTTCAGTGCACTCGTTTTGCACTGAACTGAATTGTATGTGATAAAACAGTTTCTAAATTAATGACATAATCTGGCTTGTAATGACTGTCGACACAAAGAACACTTTTTCTTATCCATCTCAAATAGCCCAAATTTACTAACCCATAGAGAATAGTTAAAAGATTTTTCTGTGAAAGATAAGGATTTAATATTTCTGTTAAAATCACAAATCTTTTTTCTGTTTTAGCGAGCCATATTATGTGCAATCAACCAGAAATGATGCAGCGATTGACTGGTTGATCATAACCAAATTGTTGGCCATGCCTGATCTAGACTATATTTAATAATAATAATATATATATATATATATATATATATATATGTTATTGATTTATGTTTTTATTTATCAGGAGTGTGCAAATTTTCCTGGTTTTATGACAAAATTTAGAGGTGCTACTCAGTCGTCAGATAGTGCTACTGATCATGTTGATTATGAAAACTACAGACATGTCTGTCATAAATGGCATTTTAAGATAACTAAGGTATGAAATATCACAGGTATTTTTCTCTTCTTCTTAATTTTAATTTGAATATACTTTAAAAAATTACATTTGTATTTTAGGCTCTTGTTATATGTTTGGAAAGTGGTGATTATGTACAGATTCGTAACAGTCTTATTGTCCTAATTAAGGTTAGTAAATTTCTGTAACAAGAAATTTAGTATTTATGATTGTGCTAATATTCCTGATTTTATTGATTGAATTTAAAAGAATTTATTATTATTTTAATTTCTTTGATAAATTAACTATTAATCTTCAATTACTTTCAGCTTCCTACGGTTATTGGTTATGTCATAGTTATGCTTATTACATTTAATTTACAGTTGATTGATTTAAGTTTTATATATATACACAGTGGAATCCTGATTATTTAAAGCAATATGGATCAAGGTATCCTGGATAATCAAAAACTTGGATAAAATGGAATTTGGTATGACTTGATATTCTTGTGATGTTTACAGTTTTAATTGTAAACATTATAAAACTACCTAATGAAACTCCTGCCTAACTTTGTAGCAGAATTTGAACTTCATACAATTAATGTGTTTATTTTGACACAACTTTCAAATTATCTTTAAAATGGATCACTCTGTGTAATGATAAATGTTTTGTAACAATGTGGTCAAAACCTTTTTTTTATTTTTGTTTATAAATAATTAATTGATATGTGAAGAATCAATTAATGCTTTTATAGGGATTGCTTGTTAGTAAATTTGTTATTGAGCTTGATTAACATTTTCAAAATGTTAAATAAATGACGTAGACATATATAATTGTTGACATTGAAAAAAAAAATATGCCTGCCAACTATAAAATAGTGAAAAAAATTTGTCATTGTCACACGGTCTCATTCACTGACCAGTCGACCATCTGCAAGTCCTCAGACTTATTCTCATTGTAAAAAACTAAAGTATATAGTAGAGAGGTGAAAAAAAGTTAGGAATAAGAATTGGAAAATATGTATGAAAATTTTAAATTAGTAAATAATTTAATTCAGGTATTTTCTTATTTTTATTCTCAATCTTTCCTCACTTTTCTATTGAATAGTTTAATCTTACTCTTATTGTGAAAACAATAAAGCTATTTCAGGTGCTATTTCATCCAGCAGAAGAAACTAAGTGACAAAAGGAAAATTATCTTATTGTTTTGAAGATAACAAGTAAAAATTATTAGTTGTTGTTTAGTTATCAAAAACAAAATATGCTTTTGACAAAATTAAAACATCCATTCGTGTAGACCAAGGGTCAACAATCTTTTTGTTGCTAAGGGTGCAATAAAAATTTTAAAAACTGTCAAGGTCACATAAAATTTCTGTAATTAGTAGATTAGTTACTTATTTAGTTACACGGATTAAAAACTTTTACTACTACACTTTTTAAGTTAATTATTATTGGGTTGTTCGGAAAGTAATTTTGATTTTTTTTTACCACTAGATGGATTAGTTGTATTTTCCCCACCATTTTCATTCTAAACTATATTATCATTATATATTTTGACAGCTGGCATTTTAAGGCTTATTTGTAAAAAATTTTGTTTGATTTACAAATTGTTTTTAACTGTAAGACATTTACTTGAAATGACAATGCCAAAAATCACTTGGATCAGTTTTTTGTAAGCAACGATCAAAACTTGTATGAATGTGAAATAATGCTACTACCAGAAATGATGACAATAGATATTTGACCAAAATGGCCGATATATAATTCAATAAAATATTTATTTATTATAAAAATATTGTGTTTTTTTCCACGGAAAAAAACAAACTTACTTTCTGAACAACCCAATAAAATTAAGATCTTCAACAGCTTGTATCACAATATATTTTGCTTATTGTAATCATAGATAATGTTTTCAAAACTAACAGGTTCTAAAGCATACAAATTATAATTGTTTTATCACATCCTTTTAATGTTAGAGTAATCAAAATGAGAATTTTTGTCTAATTGTAGTCTTATTTCTTTTATTTTGTTAGTTTAGACTGACCTCAAAATGATTAGTATAAACAATGTCTACTGTACTTAAAAGATTAAGTTAAGAAATTGTATAAATTGTGTTTACTTCATTAACATTATGGTATTTTATTTGGTAAAGTTTGTTTGTTATTATATGACTTTTTCAGATTTTACCATATTTTCCCGTCATCACAAACCTCGGCCAAGCATTAGAACGTCGAATTGATAAAATTCGTTTGGAGCAGAAAGAAAAGAGACCCGATCTCTATGCTATAGCAACAGGGTAAGATTTAATTTATTAAAAGTTTCTTTATACATTAATTATATATTTTTAAAGTAATAGAAAACAAATTTTTACTGGGTCAAAAAACAGAATTAAGAAGGACTTCGCACTTAGCTTATTGAAAATTTTAACCTCTTAATAAGATGGTGTTGACTGTACTTAAATTGAATTCCATTATGTAATCATTCTGAAAATGCTAGATGATTAAAGTAAAAGTACTCTTTGAAATATATTTTATACTCAGTTTAAGAATTATCAATACTGTCTTGTTGGATCAACAGTAATGACAATATATTGGAAACACTGTTTTTATAGAATTTTGAAATAACATGTTGTATTTTTCAAATATTACAATAGTAACTTGAAAATGATTTAAAAAGAAAAAAAAAAAAAAAAAAATACATTCATTCAGCAAAGTCAGGCTATTTTTTGAAGGATTCAAATATATTAGTACAGAGGTGGACAACCTTTTAAATAATGTGCCAAATAAAATTGAAGGTATAGGGCCAAATTTTCTTTTATGATTTATAACTGGCCTTGTCAACAAGTTAATAGTGATCAAACAGCTGACTGAAAAAGACACTGAAATCAGTTGAAAAGAAAAAGCATATGAATATATTACTATATAGGTTTATACTCTATACTACATTGGACAATACAGAGAGGAATAGGTGTATAATAAAAAAGTTATGATAACCTGATTATATGATTATACATTATTCTGCAGGCTGTAGGTTTACCACCTTTGTATTAATGCAAATGAATAATAGTAATAAACAAGTGTTCAATAGACAAAAGCTGCTCGATTAAGATTACCAAAAATTGTTTAATGTAAGGTCTAGCAATAAAACGAGCATTTATAAATACAGTGATACCTCGTACTTTGAATTTGTTTTCAGGAAGCCATTTGAACTCTAAATTGTTTGAAGTCCTAATCAGTTTTCCCCATTAAAAGTAATGAAAAGTAAATTAGTATGTTCTCAGACTGTAAACAATACCCATTTCGATCAACTTAAACAGAAAATAAATACATAATTTAAGGTAAAGAAAATAACACAATTAAATGTCCTCAGCAATGAAAACAACAAATAAAATACGTAAAAACTGTATAACAAAATGAAAATCGTATTTACTTTGCTTTAGTGAGGAATAGTGATGTCCCAGTTTTTAAGGTCACTATACAGCTTTTACTTGGCTTTCTCACAAATAATGCTCTTGGAGATGATATCACCAGCTAATTGCTTCTTATTCATCCATACTAGGAGGAGTTTTTCCATCTCAGTAATATGTGATTTGGAGGTCAATGTTGTCACACCTTTAGTTCACATTTGCTGCTTTTATTGCTTTTTGTTCTTAATAATGGTGTACACTATTGACTTCAGCATCTTAAACTTGGCCTGCAGATCCTCCACACATATACCACTTTCATGCTTTGCAATAAGTTTCTTTTTCACTTCAATTGTTGATACTACAAACCTTCCTTTTAGATTTTGTTGCCGTCGTTTGTCAAAAAAGTATATGGAAAAATAAAAATCAAGTTTAAGTCATTTTATTTGACTTTACGTCTGTTCACCACAAATATTGAAGTCGTAATATCACTAGAAAACTGTTTAAAGCACATAAAATCATATTAAAATACTGTATATACATTTACAAGTATGTACTGTATTTACAGTACCTGCATTCGTAAATTTAGATTACTTTTTTCTGCACTATATTAAAAACTAAAATTTATTTGTTTGTAAGCTTAAAATAGATCCTTATTAACCATATATTATTAAAAATGCATTAATAAATAAAATACAGAACTGGGAATGGTAATTTATGGTTTAGCCTAGTGACAAGTAGATACGGAGACAAGTAAATTTGACTTACGTCACCTCTCCTGGAACCAATTACCGATGTAAGGCGAGGTATACCTGTATATTATATATATGTATGTGCAATAAAAATGTTTTTGTATTTAGTTTACATTCTTCTCTATAGAAGAGCTCAAAACTATATCAGTCCTGAGTATCTTCAAGTCTTTTGGCTCATCATTGGAGTTGTACATTAACAAAAGAAATATTTGAAATTAGCAGTTAGAAGAACAAAACTTTCAAATTTAAATTTTAAAAATTTTAAACAAATGCTAAATCAAAACCTTTCTTTTGTTGTTGTAAAGTTTTGATGATGATCTGGAAGGCTTAAAAATATTCAGAACTTTGTCTAATGTTTATATTACTATTTTGAACTCTCCAATAAAGTAAGTAAAACTAAATTTTGAAAACTGGAATATTGATCTTTTTTATTTGTTTCAGTATTGTTAAAATATCAAGAATTAGTAAAATTAAGATTATCATTAAAGATTATCAATAGGAATTACTTTGCATGTTCAAGTTAATATCTGCAAAAAACATGAAAGAAAATGAATAAATGTGCAATTTGCTTATCTTTGCTGAAATGAATTTGATGTCAAGATTATTTTCTGCAGAATGTCATTAGTAATAATTCTTGTTACTCTCTTTAATTATAGATGCCAAAGTTTCAATTTAAATATTGCATTTCATTTTTTTTTTATAATTGCAGATTGAATAAAATGTGTTTGCTTTCTGTTTGTTAATTAAAAGCATTTGAATAAATTGATTTTTGCAAAATATTACTATTTCCTACAGATATTCAGGACAGCTTAAAGCGAAGAAACAGAATCTAATTCCTGAACATGAGTTTCATTTAAAAGAAACAAAGGAACTGGTAAGTTATTTTCACTATTAATATTTTACATTTTGTTTTATTACTAGAGCTAGGACATTTAGGCACTAAAATTCACTCACATAACTCAAGTTATAACTTGCATGATTTTTATATGACTTTTAGTGCCTAGATGCCCTAGCTCTATTTACTACATACATGTTTTGCTAGAATTACTGGGCAAAATACATGAGTAGGAATTTATTATGATACATCTCTCTATCTTGAGAATGGTGTTAGATGAAAGTTGAGATCAGTTGTGGAAAGCCTAGGGGCATGAGGCCTCGATTAACAATATTTTAATTCAAAAATTTTCCCTGAAAGCAATTAGATAGATGACTGGCATGGCTCTATTGCTAGCAGAAAAGTATGATGTACTATACAGGGGCAAGACACTACCAATTTGTTACAGTTAAAGAAACAGCAGAGATTATATATATATATATATATATATATATATATAGATATATACCCTAGTTTTCTTCTCTTATCTACAAACAAGAATTCGGCTCACGTTTCGCTTGCGTAATTAAAATAGTTTTACTCTCATCTACTTGTAACTTAATCTCGCTTTACTTTGACAGCCAACATATATCTGCAGCAATGAAGTGGTTGGTATAGGCTGACATGCTCTTCTTTATTAATTTGTACCTTCTTAGATTAAATTGCACGTTTGTCTTCGTAGAGCGAGTGTTTGTGTAATTTTACTAACACGGTTTTCACTTTCCTTGTTTTAATGGTTGTTATATTGAGATTATAACAAGTTTATTTTTCATTCTGGATTGTTTTATAATAGTTCCGGAAAAATTAAAACTAACATTTATTACTTTGCTTTTAGATTTATTTAATAAATGCATTAAAAAAAAGAATTCAGAAAAGTCGACTTGTGTTTAGTATTATATAATATTCATCCCTTTTAAAATTACAATAATAATGTTACTCCTTACTTAATTTACCTTTTATGCTTATCTCTTTTTCTTATTATTCTTTGACTTTTCTTTAAAAAAAAACTATTTTTCATCTCTTCCTTCTCGTGGCTTCCTTCAATGGGCTAATGTTCTTTTTTTCTATGTTCTCTTCTTTTTTATGGCATTTTTTCCTTTCCTCACTTGTCATTTTTCCTTGCTTCTTCATTTATATATCCTCTTTCTCTCTTTCCTTTCTAGGCTCCTCTTCCTTTTTTTTTTCTTTTTATTTCTACCATCCTTTTCATCTAACCACTTTCTTATTCTTATTTTTATTATTTTATGCTCTTTCATTTCAAATTCTTCTTCACTTTATATATCATTTTCTCCTATTCCTGATATTTTCTTCATATANTTACATAGGTGTATAAGCTTAAATCCGCTGTTTTTTAGTCAGAAAAACACACGTTTTTTTCTTAGAAAGCAAAAACAAATTTATTCAAAGTACTTTCCCTCACTAGTGACACATTTGTTCCATCTCTTGGGCAATGTGTGGATATCATGTCAAAAAAATTTCTTCTTTTTCGAGACAAACCACTCATCAAGCCATTTTCGGACGTCTTCGTAAGAATCGAAGTGCCGCTCAGCAAGCGTGTGGCCTATCGATGAAAAGAGGTGATAGCCAGAAGGGGCCAGGTTTGGTGAATAAGCGGGATGGGGTAGCACCTCACAGTTGAGTGTCTCCAAGTAGTTTCGGACCAATGTTGACACATTTGATGGTGCATTGTCAAGGAGGAAAATCAACTTGTCATGTCTTTGCTGATAATCCGGCCTTTTTTCACGCAGAGCACAGTGCAATTTGATCAGTTGTTGGTGGTAGCGGTGAGCATTGACAGTTTCACCAGGTTTCAACAGCTCATAGTAGACAATACCCTGCTGATCCCACCAAACACACAGCATTGTCTTCCGTCCAAAGCGATTTGGTCTTGGGAAAGATGTTAATGATTTGCCTGGATCAACCCACGATTTCTTGCGTTTAGGATTCTCAAAATATATCCATTTCTCATCGCCAGTTACAATCCGATGCAGAAACGACTTTCTTTTTTGTCTGGCGAGCAAGATTTCGCATGTGTTTTGGCGTCGCTCCATCTGCCTATCGTTCAATTCATGCGGCACCCATTTTCCGATCTTCTGAATCTTTCCCATGGCACGTAGACGCATGGAAATGGCTGGTTGAGTAACACCCAATTGCTCGGCAAGCATTTTTTGCGATTGGGTATCGTCCTCATCCAAAAGAGCCTGCAGTTGATGGTCCTCAACCTTCCTGGGCCGATTTTCACGCTTCTTGTCGCTCAGGTAAAAATTTCCATCTTTGAACTGACGAAACCAATCTCTGCACGTGGTTTCCGATAAAGCTCTGTCTCCATAAGCCTCCACAAGCATTCGATGTGCTTCGGCAGCCGATTTCTTCAAATTAAAGCAGAAAAGCAAAGCTTGCCTCATATGCTCTTTTTCTGGCACAAAAGTAGACATGATTACAAAAAAAAATATATGTTGTTTTATGAAATATCTGATGATGTGCACTGATTAATGTTGACAGACGTCAAAATCATCAAAAAAACAATATGGCGTCATCATGGTAACTTAATACCTTGCTTACGCCATCTATTAGCAAACAGTGGATTTAAGCTTATACACCTGGTATACATACACGTACATACACACTCACGTTTGTAAAAATTGCACCACCATGAAGGAATTATGTGAATAAACTGAAACTTACAGGAAATGAAAAGCAGGGTATGACATGCAAATGATTAGAATATCATAATGATAGCTAATGTTTGGGCTGAGAAGTGCCTCATAAATGGTCATGTTAGTCCTATAAATAGAGGGCAGTAGAGGAAAGTTGGAAGTAATGTATCATTATCTGTCAACGGTAAACATTTCGTGAGAAGTTACTATGCCTCATTGACGACAAAGGGTGCCATATGAGCATGTGACAGAGTTTGAATGGAGGCAAATTATCGGCCTGCATAATGGGGGATTTTCTTATTGCAAAATTACAGCTTGTGTGGGGGGGTGTAATGCTCCCACACAACCTGCAATTTTGCAACTGCTACAGATGTGCCATTGTCTGTGTCCACAGTTTGATGACGACTGCTGTGATATGGATTATGTGCAATCATTCCTTTGCACAGAATTCTTCTGAAACAAAACCATCAATGCCTGTGGCTACAATGTGCTCATCAACATAGCCACTGGTGTGCCAATTGGCAACTAATCATCTTTTCCAATGAATCTTGCTTCAATTTAGAGTACATTGATAGCCAAGTATGTGTTAGACTCAGAGGTGACATCATCTTCCACAGTGCATTATCCAGCATCATAATGGGAAATTGCAAGGTGTGATGGTCTGGGGCACTATTGGATATTATGGACAATCTCAGCTGTTCAGAAATGTGGGTACTCTCACAGTAACTGTTACATCAGGGAAGTTGCAGAGCCCAAAGTCGTACCCTTCCTTCTGTGAATTTTTGTATTTCAACAGGACAGTGCTTATCCACATGTTGCTAGGAATGTTCTAGACTTCTCAGCACAATAGACCACTTTTTCCTTGGCCTGCCCATTTACCAGACATGTCACCTATTGAATATGTATGGGATTTCATGGGTCAGAATCTTGCTGGTAGCACTTATCCCACAGCCAATAATATGATGAACTTTGGATTTGGATAGAAGCAGTCTGGAATGCTGTTCCTCAGGTAGACATTCAAAACCTGTTTGATTTGATGCTGTGACTTGTAGAAATTCTTATTGCAGCACATGGAGGCTTCACCAAATACTGATTTTTGAGATGTAATACTGTTTGATTGCTCTGTAAATTTAATTGTTTCTTTGTATCACTCACTACAGAAATAAACTTCATTCATTTCTGATTTCTGATGATTTCTTCATGGTGTTGCAATTTTTGCAAATGTGTGAGTATGTGTGTATAAATGAGAGTTATTATTGTGACATTATCACAATGCCCAGCTGCAATCTTTAATTATACTTTTAATTTATTTAATTTAAAATACATGCTTTCCACCTCAAATAAGTTAAGTAAAAAATTACTTTATTTGTAGTCTAAAATTACAATTGAGAAAAAAATCTGTTTTCATTTATGAGAAAAATGTTTTTTTTTTTTTTTTTTAACAATAACACAGTAAAGATATAAGTAATTAAACTATTCCTTCAGATATCATATTGCAGAGATATCAAATTTATAAATTAAAAATAATTAATTGATGACATATTAAAATGGTTAATGAAAGAAAATGAAATAATTAAAATCTGCTTCAAGATTTTCTTGATAGTTTAAATTCGTGGTTAGCAACTGACAGTATATGATTCACATGCAAGTACTACCTACTTGCATGTGAATCATATACAAGTACACCGTACTAATTATTTTTTTGGTTTTATTCTGCTTTTACCTTGTGAAAAACATGTTAATTTTATAATTATAATTATACAATTCTTTATAAAATTTCTGTATGAGAAAAATATGCACTTAAATATCTTAAATATTTATATTTATTTTAATAAATAGCTATTTGGTCTTTTTGTAATACAAAATTTTGTTTATATAATATTGTATTATTATATGTTGGTGCAATGTGGCATTGGAACTCCAACAATTCTGTTTATCAGAAACTATTCAATTCCTAGTCGTTGGTATCCTTTATGGTTTAGATAAATATTTGCCGCTAACTTTTCCGCATTCGAGACTTGTGTTCAAATTGGCTCGTGAATTTCAGTGATTGCTGAATCTTGGTTTAAATTTAAAAATTTTGGAACAAACTCTGAAATAGTTTGTGAATGTTAATTTTTAATAATTATTAACATCTCTTTCATACATTTAATACAGTAGAAAAATAAATGTGTAGTTATTATTAAAATCATTTGTGATGTTAGCACATGATTCTTAATAATTGAGTAAATTAATAGTTGAGAATTACTTATTTTATAATTAATAAGTTTTCATTTTGTTTAGGAATTCAAACTTAATATTTCTTATAAGAAATATTTTTGGTTTAAAATTAGATGATTAATATTAAAAAAATAATTTTATTCTGTTTTCAATATTTTCACTTAAACAAATCAAATATAAGTTCCGATTTACAATAGGATGATTTAAATTTTAAAAAACTATGACTAATCATATGATTTGAGTATATTATTATTACTGCTTTTAAACTGTATCAAACCTAAACATTTTTGTACAAATTGAATGACTGGTAAATGATATTAATCTTCATTACAGTTTTATATCTCTTAGCCTGCAATCATATGGAATAGTTTAGTTTTCTGCACCTAGTAGTTTTTTGCAGGCATTTTTTACCAAATTGATTTACTTAGCTCTGCTTTCTTGATATTCCTATTCTACATGCCATCCATCAGTGTAAAAATTTTGGTTGAAAGATTTTTTCAGCTTATCACAGGCCCTCAAAAAAAAGCACTGTGGAAAATCAACTTCTTATACATGTGATTCCATACAATTTTTCATTATTGTCACACACTTGTATGTGTGACAATTTTCTGATCTAATTCTGCCATGACATCGTGGATATTTGTCAAGTATGCATGATGTAATGACACGGTGTTCTGCAATTTACTATGACCTTGAATGTTTGTCTCTGTAAGATAGCATGGAGTGGCTGACCTTCATCAAATTAAATGTTTTTGTGGCTTTATTTTTTATTCAAAAAATACAGATAAAGCATTTGCTGGTTCTTCTGAGAAACACTTCTGCCCACTCACTATTTATTTCCAGCTGAACTCGTTTAGTGCATACCACTCAGAAATTATGTTTATAATTTAATTAATAGATATAGATTTTAAAAAGTAAATTATTAATTTTGTTTGCAAATTTCTTTAGTGATGTAAACAACCTCATTCTTTAAACAAACTAACTTATTTTCTTAATGAACTTTGTCTTTTTTGCCCATGTATAGTAATGTTCATTGCTTTCCTTCATGTTTTCGGACAGTAGCCCTTATGATTGCAAAGTTTGTGAGGATTTCTATGGGAGCCTAGTCAATGAAATTATTTCATGAAGATAAAGTATCTTTTGAACTAAACAATGTATGATCTCAAAATTTGGCATATGTAGAGAAGATGCATTAAAAGTTTTTTCTGAATTTCCAAATTTGAGCAATGATAATTTTATGTGAAAAATCAGTGGGAAATTGCCACCTTATTCATGTGTTAAAAAATAAGTGTATGTGATTGCAAGTCAATATTTTAATGCAATTGTACCAAAATTCATGCTTCAATAAGAAAGAGTAGTATGCAGCAATAAACAAGATAAATCTATAAAATTATAGAGATTGTTACATCTTTGTGTGTTTAAGGATCCTTTCTCTTTAGAAAGACTGTAATTCTCATTCACTAAAAAGAAATATCTTAATAATTAGTCACTTGCTAAGTTTTAATTAATGACTATTAATTTTATTGTTCTTTAATTTTTATTAATGCAAATATAGGAAAATACATTTATATAAATTATAAAACTTGACATACTTTTTATTTACAGACAAAAAGTCAAACAAACAGTAATACTTCCAGTAATAAAGCAGATAAAGTTTTGAATGCTGTACATGATAATTCTGCTTCAGATAATAAATCTGGTAAGTGTTAACAGTTTACTATTAGTATGTTTTGATGTAAAGATTTATATTTATTAGTAAGTTTTCTATGAGAAGCATGAAAACATGATCTCTTCCAATGATCTATGTTGTTATATAAGTAGGGATGTCCTGATACTGCCCATACCAATACCATATTGATACTTTTCTTCTGGTATTGGATCTGGTATTGTTACATTTTTCACAGACAGGTAAAGTCAGACCAAACCAGATTTTGCACCCAAATCAAGAACTCAAATGAAAGTTTACATTATTTTCAGTTAACATAAACTTAAATAAAAATATTAATGACCGAAAGTTAATAAATGTATTACGTCAAATTTCATTTCCAGAATTTATATATGCTTAGAGTTCTGATTACTATTTATAAGTTAAATAAATATTTAGTTAAACATTATGCAGTACTTTTGTTTGTTAATCAACTCGGACCATCAGTGATGTTTAAAATGAACTACAATTTATATATACTCGTTTGCACTGACATTTGTAAAATTTGAACACAGTAAAGAACTTTTAATGTAAAGACACTGGTTTACCTCTTCACCAGCAATTTCTTATCCACCTGTATCCCATTATAGTAGTACCCACAGAGCCCTTTAGTGGAATTGTAGATCTAGGATTTCTTTTGTATACCTAAGACATCATAAGAGTGTAAACTGAAGTATTGACTGACACACTGACTTCTGAACCAGATTTAGGATTCAATTTCCTGGAGTAAGCAACGAAATATAAATTGCTGCTATGGGTCCCACTCATTCTTCATTGTAATGAATACAGTACACCTATCCCTCTTTTTACGTGGTCCATTTTACGCAATTTTGAAATAAAGCAGTAGACAATAGAGAACTAACCCTCTTTTTATGCAATTAACTTTTTAACATGGGAGAAAAAATAGTTTGTTTGAAAATTTTTAAATTTAACTTTTCATTAAAATTGTATTATTGTTAAAAAAAACTTACTTTTTTGTTGAAATCAAGAGTTAATTTTTTTAAAACTTTTGATCATCAGAGAATGCTGTATGTTGATTTTATATTTCCTATGCTACCTTGTGTTTACTATATTTATGTATACCAATATTGTTAACAATAAATGATGCTAGAATAAATAAGCTCCTATCAAGCATTTGCAAATGTATTGCACTTTTTTTATGTAATTTTTTTACACTGTGTTCTTTGGAACGTATCCACCATGCAAAAAGAGGGATAGGTGTACTTTCTCAGCAATAAAAACAATTGGAAGATGAAGTGACAGACTGAATAGTGACAGCTGGCAAGATTTCTTATTTTGGTACTCAATGCTGATACTAGCTGGTATTGATACTTTAAGACCAATACCAATACTGGTATCAATACTTTAAAAGTACTCACGATACCAGTATGGATACTTTTGTGGTATCAGGACATTCATATATATGAATTTCTTTTATTAGCTTTCTTAATTTATAAACATATATATATGTTTATAAATTAAGAAAGCTAACAGGAGGAGAATAATCACTTTTTCTTTAACAGTATAAAAGACTAAGTTTACTTTCCTGCTGTTATATATATAACACAAGAAAGTATTGTAATTGTGATTGTGTCAAATTTGACCCTCTGTGTTTTTTTCAAATCTCAATGCTTCAAGACACTCTGAACCCAAAAAAAATTAAAAAATAAAAAATTTCTTGAATGTTTGTTGTGTGTGTGTGTGTTAGTGTTTATTTCATTTAATATCTGAGAATGGGGTAAAGATTAAGAAATGATAACTGGTATATAAGCAGCATTGATGCTATTAAATTTTAGAGTACTGAACTTGACTTCTCTCTACTTCCCTATTCTCTCATGTCGTATCTTGAGTAGTATCAGACTTAGTGAATATTTTATTTCTTATCGGCATTTACAATATTTTTAAAAACTCAACTCTACTCTCAAAATTAAGCTTTTTTTTGCCTTTTTATAATAATTAATAATATAAAAGTTATTTTTTTTAATGGCATCTCACAACAGATGGTGTCATATGCAATTTTATTTCAAAGGTTCTATTTTTATAGTAACTTTTAAATAATTTTAATTTTGTAGTTACTAGCTGAAATAAATAAAAACAATAAAGATATGTATATAGTAATTTAGATTTTGTCCTAAGAAATTTTTCTAAAAAGGTGATTACAAATTTATCTAAAAATTATGCATAAGTGATGAGCATAATTTTTAAATTATTAGCTTCTGTTTTAGCTTATTTTGCATTTAGTGTAGAATTATTTAAAATTTTGTACATCAAAGAAATTTTGATATCTGGAAATTAAAGTAGGCAAAATATTCTTTTGAAAAATAATCAAAGAATTAGGGAAGTTTTCTTTGCAATATTATTATTATAGTTGAATATATGTGATAAAAAAGTAGTCACTGTTAAATATATTTCATTTAATATGATTAATAAAACAGATTAATTATAGTTATTTTTAAACGTTATTTAATTGTTAGTTGTTACTTTCGTCTCTTATTTATTTGATTTAATTACAATTATTTGTGTATAATTAGTAAAAAAATAAGTGGGTAAATGTGATCTTTTAGTTTTTTACCAAGTATCATTTAACCTGCAAGGAAATGTACTTTTTTTTTTAACATACAAATGTGTAAGGTGGCAATTTCTGCTGATGCTTTGCATGTAATTACTGTTCTTTGAATATAATGATTCTGAAAATTCTTTGATCTGTTTTCTCTGCATATGTCAAACTTCAGTATCATACATTGTTTAGTTTACAGACCAATGTCTTTGACAGGACTCCTATATGGAGGCCTTCAAACTTTGGGCTAGTTTGGCCTAATATGAAATGAGTTCAACTGGAAATGATGGGAGGGCTGATGTGTTCAGAAAGACCAGAAAATTATTTTTCTGAATTTTTTGGACACAAAATAAAACTGTGAAAACCTTTAAATTGTTGAAGGTCATATTGTTCCAGGACATTGTATGGAGACAAGCATTCAAGACTGTGGCAACTTGCAGACTGCTTACGTCATTATGACATGCATAGCTGACAAACATCCCTGATGTCATGCCTATCTTTTGTGGCAGACATGAAAGATTTCCATATCATCATTTTTGATGACATCAGGGCACCAAAAATGATGTTAGAGTGGGAAATTTCTGCCTTATCTTTGCAATCATGTCACAATAATGAAAATTTAAACATGATGCATGCATAATGTGGAGATTTTCTGCAATTGTTTTTGAGGGCCTGTGATAATTGGGAAAATTTTTTGATTGAAAGTTTTATGCACTCAGATAGCATGTAGCATGAGGATATCATGGGAGCACATTTGATGCTTTAATTCACCAATCAGTTTGGTGAAAAATGCCTGCAAAAAGCCAATAGGTACAGAAAATTGTCACTTTTGTTTGCGATTGTAGGTTAATTATATAAAAAAATTATATTATTGAAAAATTTATATATTTAAGGAAGGAACATTAATGAAATGAAATATTTTTATCATACAATAACATTTAAATAAGAATCAATCAATGTTTATAGATATTTTGTATTATTGAAGAAAATCATGTTGCATTTTCTATTTTTATGTTTAGTAATTTGGAAAAGTTAATCTGAGTAAATTTAATTTTATGTTACAAGATTTCTGTTTTAAATTACAGATAATAAAGATAAAGAAGTGAAGTCTGAATCAACAAAGACTTATGTGGTTAGTAAGATAACAGATAATTCTACGAAAACTAGCAACAGTGTACAGAATTTGAAAAGGGAGAGTAACAGGTAAGTTTAATGATTCTATTTGTGAAAAATGAAATGTAAAAATATTAAAAATGAAAATAAAATTATTCATAATAATAAATAGTACTGTTGTTTGTAAAGCAGTTTTAATTAATACCAGGTTCATGTGTGCATTGATTTGCTGGTGCAGTGAAACTTTTGCACTAGTTACAGTTTACAAGCGATTCAAATTTGCTTTGCAGTTTTCTTCTTTTAAGTACTCAATGCATTGGAATGTTCATATTTTGTCACGCAATTACAAAATGGGCTCATTAACTTGGCCATAGAGCATGTCAAATTTCTACTGTATTAACCTGTTCTACATTGTTTCCGAAAATATTCATGTTGACCTCATTGACCTGCGTGGGCGATCCCAAATATTTTCTTGTTTACATCGGAATGTTTTTGATACTAGATGTCGCTATGTGTCACAATTTTTATATTAAAACAAACTTTTAAAATATAAATTTTTTTGTTTCTATATTATTCAATATATTTATTTTGTTTGTGCAACATAAAAAAATAATTTTTAATGATACAGTAAACACGATTATTATTTAATGTATGGACCCTCATACATTTCCCATCTCTTATAAACATCAGAGTCAACATTCCACAAGCATGGATGTTTTTCATTTGCTTCTAAAAATTTTATGATCTTTCCCGAAGTTCACTTTCTATTATTTTTTTTTATCTTAAAAAGAATTGGCGTTTAATTATTAGTCATATTTTATTGTTTTACATAGTGATAACACTGCATATTTGATAACAAATAATAATAAAAATGCTACTTCCAGCAGCAAAATCTTAATATTTGCAGATAGACTGACATGACAGTTCATGTTCATGTATATAATGTTTACTGACACTGATGTATGATTCAACACTGGCAAGCTAAAAAGTTGGATGTTTTCAACTTTTTATCTTTGCTTGCAATGATGTCATTGGCACACCAGTACATGTTTACAAATGAAATGTTTTTTGTTTTATTTTTATGCTAAAAGTCATTGACAACAGCAGATACATGCACAAGTAAAACTGGCATAAGAACACATGCATCAGTAAAATAGTAGAATATAATAAAAATTTGCAAATTCATTGCCTACAGATTGGATTTATGTCTTAAAATTAAATATGAATGATTTTGTATGGTAAAAAATTCTCAGTGGAAAATAATCAAAACGTTAAATTATACAAACAAACTTTTCGTATGTTTTCAGCATTAATTTTACATACTGAACAAACATTTTTGGCTGATTTTAATGCTGGAAATGTATGAAAAGTGTGTTTGTATAATTTAACCAAAAATTCCAACCTTTAGAAGGCAGTTGTAATCAAAAAGTATTTGTAATTAGAAGAGATATGCGAGTAAATTTGAATATTTGTAATATGTTTCCTTTTATGTCACAGGAACATAAAATTATTAATTATATGAGTGATAACTTTTGAAATTTCAACCAATACTAGGGGACTTTTCAGCAAATTCGCATATTTGAGAAGGAAGAGCCTTTAAAAGAAGGTTGACTTTGCCATGAGATTATATTATGTTTCTCTGATATAAAAAGAAAGACTGCATTGTGATGACTTTAATTTATTTCTTTGTCTTCCAATTATGAATTTTAATGTAAATATTCAAATTTGCCTATTCACAGTTATGGCTGGGAGATACTAGATTGGTTTTGCTTTAGTTGACATATTTACTTTCATGGCATTAGGTTTTTCCAAATAGAATATTTTTGTCTCTAAAATCACTGCTAAATTTTATAATTTGCTTTTATTTGTTTAAAATTAATGTTACAATGGTTTGAAGAAGATAAGATTTTTATTATACAAATTTTAAAATATATTTATCATAAGAAGTTCGTGCATTCAATAATTGATACATTTTCAATTAAGGGTGTCGTCAAAGGATGCAGATACTAGCGATTCCTTGACCTCAGATAAAGAAATTAAACAGGAAAAGAAAAGTATGGCCAATAGTGACATTGGCATCAAGAAAGAGGAGCTAAGTGATAGATTTCAAATTTCCAAAGAAAGACGTGAAGAAAACTATTATAGTCATCATCACGGTATGGAGAAAGAAATTGATTACGGAGGAAGATCTGCAGAAGGAAGCAGTTATCGACGAAGCACCGAAACTGCAGAGAATGAAAGAGGTAAGAATTTTTAAAAGCTAATTATGAAATAATAATAATAAAAATTACCAAATTGAAAATGACACTTCATCAAAATTGTAATTTATATGAAATTTTCTGCTTTTTAATCATTTTATAGCATAATGAATGCAATGTTCTACTTGTACATTAAGTTTTAAGCTGGTCTGATCAGTAGTTCCTGATTGATAGGCTAATAGGTAGATGAAAAAACAACAGGGTATATCCTGTTGCATTTTTATCTTCAAAATGTAAATACTAATGTATGCATTTTTAAAATGTTATATAAATTACTTGATATAATTCAGTCCTCTGAGTCTGTAATATTTGACTGCATTATAAGGTGACTTTCTGCTGTATGTAGAAATAAGCCGTATTATGCGATAGCCACTGTTTATCAATTTACTGCTTTTCCTTGTCGCCCATTCTATTTTGGCCTTTGTATTAACACCCAAAAGATAATATCTGAATGAAGCAGCTGATAAAGCCATTTTTCTGATACAAAGCCATATTTATTCTATTATTATTAAAGCAATTGAATTCAGAGAGGATTTCTTAAGACTGTTTTTAATTTTAATTGATTTTTGAAACAATTGTTAGTTTTGGATGGAAAACTCTATAATGTAATATATAAGATAAATTGAAATAACATTTTACTAGAGCAATGTAACAGTAAAAATGTTAACTTGATTATAAAATTATCTAGTGAATTTAAAATGTCAATAAAAAGTTTAGAGTGAATATCAGGATTTGTTAAATCAAAATATTTGATTTTGCACATACTGGCGTGCTAACCGTGTACCAAGAGAAACATGCCATTTTAATTGGTATAAACCATTAAATATTTAACTTCCTCTAACTTACTTTAATGTATATTTATGTTAAAATTGAATATAATTCTAAGATGATAAATGTTTTCTTGATTTATAAGCAGAATTTGACATTTAAATTTATTTATTTTAGAACACAAAAGGCGACGAATGGACGGTCCTTCAGCAAAGGTTAGTATCTGAATCCTAAAAGGAGCAACTTCTGTCCGAAGTTTCGCCAACTGCTTTAAGGTGTGATTCTGTGCTTTGAAGCAGTGCTAAAAAGTCTTCAGCTCCTTTTGCAGATATGAGCAAAATTTGGAAGGAGAAAATCTCTTACAAGAGGGGATCGATCACGGGAAGATGCCCATAAATTGATGATGATTTAAATGGCAGTCGTTTGGGGGGTGGTAATGCCATTTATGTAGGAAGGAGATTCCTGTTACGGAAACAAGCAATTTTTTCCAAATAAATTTGCTACAGGGTAGTTCCAGAAAAATTCAGCTGGACTATTAATTTATTATTGTGAAAAATTCTAATTCGTTTTTTAAGAAAATCTTTTACTGGAGGGAAAAAAGTTTGTTCCGGAGAATAGAAAGATATCTATTGTTCCAGAAATTCGTTTAATATATATTTATATAATATATANTTTATTGAAAAATTTATTATGAAAAGTTTGTGTTGAAGAGGAAAAAATATTTATTTTAAAAAGAAGAAAACCAGTTTCGGAGATCGAAGAATGAAAAATTTTATACTAAATAATTCATGGAAAAGTTTAAAAGTGTGATGATTAGCTTTAAAAATAAATAAAAGGGTCATCTTTATTATAGTTTAAAAAAAAAGCCAGGAATATTTGGAAAAGTGTGATGATCATTAAACAGGAGTGAACTGCTTTTTTACTTCCGTTTTTATAAATTTTCAAATTATCTGAAGCCGATATTGGATTAAATTCATCTGTTTTGAAAATTATGTGTGTGACGACGAACTGTCGTGTTCTTACAGATAATCTAATTTCTGTAGAAGATATTCATAATCATATAATTTTCACTATTTTGTTGTGTTAATATGTATATAGTTTGGTAAAAAAATTTCCAAATAGCATAAAGGGTTTAGTAGCGACGCTAGGGTCGAATGTATAACTAAGAAGAAAATAGTTTTGATACATCTTATACAATCAAATCATCCAAAACCCTAAAGAAAAGTATAGAAAAAAGAAGGAAATTCCATTGTTTATTTACGATGACCATAAGCGAAAAAATAAAATAAAAAATAATAATAAATAAAAGAAGAAATTGCTCGAAATTAATCTAACGACAGTTACAGAATTTTAAAAGAAGTAAATGTCTCTTTAAAGCCATCTTTATTAGCAAGTCCGTCTTCCAGTTAGTTGAATAATAGTCGTGCCTCCGAGAAGATTTTTTTCAACCCAAAGAGGAAATGTCTACTGAACTGTTGCGTTTTCTGCAAATTTGGTGTTGCCTTCAACAAGTTTGCCCGTCAATAACTGATATCAACTCAAGCAAGTAATCCATTCAATTTCCGAAGTAGTTATTTTCTCAAGAGGAACATGAATCAGTGCGAAGAAATTGCAGGATACTGTCGCCATTTCAACACCCAATGTACCGAATCTATTGTGGATAGCAGCACCCACCCCCACAAAAGTTGTGAGTTTGGTGGCTATCATCTGTCTTTTTTTTTTTTTTTTTTTTTTTTTTTTTTTTTTTTTTTTTTTTTTTTTTTTTTTTTTTTTTTTTTTTTTTTTTTTTTTTTTTTTTTTTTTTTTTTTTTTTTTTTTTTTTTTTTTTTTTTTTTTTTTTTTTTTTTTTTTTTTTTTTTTTTTTTTTTTTTTTTTTTTTTTTTTTTTTTTTTTTTTTTTTTTTTTTTTTTTTTTTTTTTTTTTTTTTTTTTTTTTTTTTTTTTTTTTTTTTTTTTTTTTTTTTTTTTTTTTTTTTTTTTTTTTTTTTTTTTTTTTTTTTTTTTTTTTTTTTTTTTTTTTTTTTTTTTTTTTTTTTTTTTTTTTTTTTTTTTTTTTTTTTTTTTTTTTTTTTTTTTTTTTTTTTTTTTTTTTTTTTTTTTTTTTTTTTTTTTTTTTTTTTTTTTTTTTTTTTTTTTTTTTTTTTTTTTTTTTTTTTTTTTTTTTTTTTTTTTTTTTTTTTTTTTTTTTTTTTTTTTTTTTTTTTTTTTTTTTTTTTTTTTTTTTTTTTTTTTTTTTTTTTTTTTTTTTTTTTTTTTTTTTTTTTTTTTTTTTTTTTTTTTTTTTTTTTTTTTTTTTTTTTTTTTTTTTTTTTTTTTTTTTTTTTTTTTTTTTTTTTTTTTTTTTTTTTTTTTTTTTTTTTTTTTTTTTTTTTTTTTTTTTTTTTTTTTTTTTTTTTTTTTTTTTTTTTTTTTTTTTTTTTTTTTTTTTTTTTTTTTTTTTTTTTTTTTTTTTTTTTTTTTTTTTTTTTTTTTTTTTTTTTTTTTTTTTTTTTTTTTTTTTTTTTTTTTTTTTTTTTTTTTTTTTTTTTTTTTTTTTTTTTTTTTTTTTTTTTTTTTTTTTTTTTTTTTTTTTTTTTTTTTTTTTTTTTTTTTTTTTTTTTTTTTTTTTTTTTTTTTTTTTTTTTTTTTTTTTTTTTTTTTTTTTTTTTTTTTTTTTTTTTTTTTTTTTTTTTTTTTTTTTTTTTTTTTTTTTTTTTTTTTTTTTTTTTTTTTTTTTTTTTTTTTTTTTTTTTTTTTTTTTTTTTTTTTTTTTTTTTTTTTTTTTTTTTTTTTTTTTTTTTTTTTTTTTTTTTTTTTTTTTTTTTTTTTTTTTTTTTTTTTTTTTTTTTTTTTTTTTTTTTTTTTTTTTTTTTTTTTTTTTTTTTTTTTTTTTTTTTTTTTTTTTTTTTTTTTTTTTTTTTTTTTTTTTTTTTTTTTTTTTTTTTTTTTTTTTTTTTTTTTTTTTTTTTTTTTTTTTTTTTTTTTTTTTTTTTTTTTTTTTTTTTTTTTTTTTTTTTTTTTTTTTTTTTTTTTTTTTTTTTTTTTTTTTTTTTTTTTTTTTTTTTTTTTTTTTTTTTTTTTTTTTTTTTTTTTTTTTTTTTTTTTTTTTTTTTTTTTTTTTTTTTTTTTTTTTTTTTTTTTTTTTTTTTTTTTTTTTTTTTTTTTTTTTTTTTTTTTTTTTTTTTTTTTTTTTTTTTTTTTTTTTTTTTTTTTTTTTTTTTTTTTTTTTTTTTTTTTTTTTTTTTTTTTTTTTTTTTTTTTTTTTTTTTTTTTTTTTTTTTTTTTTTTTTTTTTTTTTTTTTTTTTTTTTTTTTTTTTTTTTTTTTTTTTTTTTTTTTTTTTTTTTTTTTTTTTTTTTTTTTTTTTTTTTTTTTTTTTTTTTTTTTTTTTTTTTTTTTTTTTTTTTTTTTTTTTTTTTTTTTTTTTTTTTTTTTTTTTTTTTTTTTTTNTATATATATATATATATATTAAAAGTTAGTGAGACAAACTATTGATGTATTAATATATTCTGGTGCTTCAAGGATACTGGTGATGTCTCATAAATGTGAAAAACCATTTCTAACTCAGTTACTTGTAACTGGTAGTACCTTGAAATGATGATTCAGTTGGTATCTTTCTGCTAACCGAAACTCAAAATGATGTAAATCTCTAATAGTTAAACCATAGAAGCAAGATTTTAATTCTAGGCTATATTTGATTAGCTTGGATTCCATTTCAGAGATTAGTTATTGGTCTCCTGCTTCTCTGCAAAGTATTGGATTTTAAAATCTTGTCTAAATGTTGGCTTTAGTATCTTGGAAATACAACATATTTCATTAAACTTTATTACACCACCATATATTTTTTCTAAAGCATTTTCCTTATTTCTTTTCCTCCAACTATAACACTTTCATTGAGACATTCTAATATAAAAAAGTAAAAACATAGTGATAACCATTTACCCTAAATTGTACTGGTATTATTTCAATCAACTTGCATAGGTATGAATTAAATGCACAGCTTGAATTGACATTAATCATACTAGAAAAGGATAAGTTATCACGAAGCCATCTTTACTTGTTGCCAAAACATTGTGAAATAAATCACTTTTATCTAATAATTTTATTTTATTTTTCCAAAATTATTGATTAGAGTCCTGCAAACTTAATATGGTCTGAGAAGGTGATGAATTACCAAAAATGACAAGTTTTACAGACTCTTGTGTTAACAGTAAAGTGAGAGAAATGAGATTATGTGAAAATGCAAGTTAAATTTTTCATTGGCAGAAGCATGTTGCCAACTGTAGTAGAATTCTACTCAGTTAATGAATCTGTTTAGTATACAATGGCAAAACAATGATGCTAGTCTAACAGCATAATTTTTGTAAATGTATTATATATGTAAATTCATATACATTTTAACTACATATCACTCTATTCTAATATATAAAGTGGAAAAGGTTGTTTGTTTTGTCTTATCTTATCTTTATTTATTCATGATACTGCCAGGGCATAATTAGATTAAGTACAGAGATACATCACTAAACAGGTAAATACATACATAATTACAGAGAGATAATGTACAAACAGTATGACAATAGAGAAAATGGTAATAACAGATGATGAGATGACTGATACAATCCAACTGATATGATAATTAGCTTGAGAGTAGAACAACAACAAGTACAGTAAAGTTTTAAAAAAAAGGTATGACTTAAAGTGTGGTGAATAGAAAATAATAATAATATTTTTATAGATATATGATGCAGAAGAATGATTAATGGTATATACAATAATGGGCAGTGAGCAAATAAAGATAGTTCGATGACATAGACTTAATGTTTTGCTAGAGATAATCTCGGAATCTATTGAAGTAATTTTGAAAATTCTTTCACTGTTGGAAAGTTCATTCCTCCTCTGAAATTTTTTCTCTCTATCCCAAACTTTCAAACCTTTTGAGCAATTAAGATAAATTTTGCATAGTTAGTCTCTGCAAACCTGCAAAAGTATACACTACTTTAAAACTTGACCAACACTCCTTTCCCTTGATTTCATCCCTCACAAATTGCCAAATCCATTGATTGATTTGTGCCAAACTTTGCATAGTTACTTTCTGCCACACTGTGGGAAACAAACAGTACTCATATAAAAGAACAACTCAACCACCTCTCTGAGTTCCTGGGCAATGCTTGGACATTCTTTGCTAATTGTGACTTTCTATTTGTAGCTAAATTTTAATTAAAAACATATCAACTATTCAATGGCTACTTTTGAGTTAGTGAAATTTACATTATGGTGTTTTGCAGTGGTACCTTGAAAAAAGGGTTATGTTCTTGTTAATACATGGGATTTATGCTATTATTGAGTGTTGACGTTGAAGAACAATAATAAACCATCACCAGCTCATAACCAAACAGAAAAATTCTTGCTACAAACATTTTCATCTATATGTAATAGATTCTGTACTATTAAAAATTATCACATTTTGAGAAATTAAATTGCTAATGTAATACTTATAACACTTTCATTTAACAAAAGTTTTATTTTGAGAAAAATAGATATGTGCTTAATAATTGATATCATATTACAGTAGAGCATCATTTATCCGAAAGCCGATCAACCGAAATGTCAGTTAACCGAAAGCGTTTCATCCAGACTGTGTC